CGACTGCAGCGTCCATTTATTATTAAAATCGTCCCTGCCGTTTAGGAGATGATCAGTGGCACTCCGACTATAGCGCCATCTACTGGTCCATTTCATCCAAATCGGTCCAGTCCTTTAGTAAGAGTAGGTTTAACAAACACGTACAGAATAATTATATATATATATATATATATATATATATATATATATATATATATATATATATATATATATATATTAACATGACTGTTTAACTCTAGCTTTATTAAGCTATTTATTTTTTATATGTAAACTAGCGGACCCGACAGACGTTGTCCTGTCTACACGTCTTTAATTTGAAAATTTCAAACTTTTTTTAATAATTTTTATTAAGGAAAACTTCTTTAGGCATGACTGAGTATAATATATATATATATATATATATATATATATATATATATATATCTATACTTATTATAAAAATAAGTCCCCCGGCCGCGTCTTTCTGTCCTCCTGTCTGTCCTCCTGTCTGTCTGTACGCGATAAACTCGAAAACTACTGAACGGATTTTTATACGGTTTTCAACAATAGAAAGAGTAATTCTTGAGGAAGGTTTAGGTATATAATTTATTATGCTTTTATGTAAATTAGCTGAAATACGGCGACAAATGTTGAAGAGGTCGCAAAAAATCTCGCCAAATGGGAACTTTCCACGCGAACGCCGCGTAAACTAGCAAAGATACAGTTAAGTAATGTACTAGAGAATTCAAAATCTATAAAAATGCTACAAAAAAGTCCGCGATAGCATATCTCTATCTCTTACGGTTGACTTACAATAACCACTTTTATGTTAACATTTTTAATTAAAAACATTACGTTATTTTCAAAGTTATTTTCTTTAGTTCGGTATTAATCCTTATCCAAATGAATATTTTAGTTAGCTTAGTCATTTAATGCAGATTAAAATTGCTCTTTACACTAAATCAATCAGATGAATAGTTTTTGAGATATCGTTGTTAGAAGTAATTAGTAGCGAAATATTTTTAATGCTTGGCGAGCATTGAGATGCCTACGGCGAGTCCATCCCCTCTGCCCCGCATCGCTCGACCGCCTGCTCAAGCTATATAAACCGGGCGATGTAGCGCGCGATCCTAGGATACTTTTTACCGCGGGAAAATATCTTATTTCTGAGGAAAAATACAAAAACTGCAATGTAAGAGTATACTAATATGTAACACCTAAGAATTTAGTTTTTGGTCATCTGAACGCGGGCGGAGCCGCGGGCAATGCTAGTATATATATATATATATTATACTCAGTCATGCCTAAAGAAGTTTTCCTTAATAAAAATATTTAAATGCAGTTACTTATATTTTGAAAAATAAAAGAATGTTTTGAGTGAAACTAGATATCTTATTATTAAGATACTTTTCTTTTGTGTCCAGATCATTTGTTCACTGTAATTGGTATAGTTGATAATATGTCCGAATTGTAAGATTTCATGGATTTTAAGATAAGTACAATGTTATTTTCTAACAGACTCTATCGATTAGTTTACCAAAATAGTAAAAATTATTTTTTTGCCTCTGGAATCATTGCCCACATGAAATGCCTCGTAAGTACATGACTCATTAAATCTGTATTTGTTACTAACCCTAGTGTATAAGTGTAGTTTCTAAAGTGTTACTAACTAAAATGGTTCCTTTGTTGTTCCCAATAAAAACAATTATTATTATTATATATAAGGTACCACCATGCAAAATTTCATTTAAATCGATACAATGGTTTCGGAGATCAGCCCATACAAATAGACAAACAGACAGGGAAACAAAAAAATTGAAAAAAATCTGGATTTGTCCTAGTTATCTTCTTACATCCCCCTGACTCAGTTTTTAGCATTTTTTTTTCTATGTACAGACATTCGACCTCTACAGTTTTATTATATGTATAGATAATGATATCGTTAGTCAGGTCCTGGAAACTATGTCCAGTTACCAGATAATTATAAGTACATAAAGTAAAAACATTAAAAAAACAACCCTCATGTTATTTTCAACATTTGTAAAGTATTTGAGCAATTAGAAAAATGTTACAAAGGTACATTTTATGTACATTAGTTTCTCATCTTCTTACAAAAGTGTTGTTTGGTCATTAGGCTAATTTTATTAAATTCGGCTCCAAGAAGTACCTACCTATGGCAAATAAATCCTAATTGTTTTATTGTAGCGGATTTTTGTATTTTTTTTGTCAACTTTTGCACTCCTCTTATATTTGAATTAATTATTCTTGAACAAAAAACATAGCATTATGGCATAAGTGATTCTTCGCGTTCTTAGTCATTACAGTCTTGACAGACTGGTCAGGGTGATCATATAGGTCTTGTAACCCGTTCGACTATTCGCTCATGGCTTAAGTGCTTGATAGCCAACTTATTTAATTATATAATTTAAGTAAGGAATATAAATATAACATATTATGTATATCGATCTATTATATTCTATATCTTAGGTAATTGCAAGTAAACATACTCGTAGGTAAAGATTAAGTATTGCTAACCATTAAACCGTTTATTTACAAATTTCTTGCCAAAAAAATTAAGCAAAAACTGTAAGTTAATATATAAATAATATATACATTTAATATATAACAAAGATTTAACTTTTTTTTTGTTTGAGATTATAATATATTATGCACTACAAAACAAAACAAAGGCAGTGGCAGCCCAGTGGTAACGCGCTCGCTGGGGAAACCGAGTGAAGCGGGTTCAAATCCGTCTCGCATAATAGTCTCTCAAATCGGGTCTCGCACCTCTGATATTCATGTGCGAATCATTTCTTACATGATTACCACTTGCCTTACGGTGAAGGAAAACATCGTGAGGAAACCTACATGTCTGAGAGAACCTAGCAAGTTTTCGAAAGACATGTGAAGTCCGCCAACCCGCACTTGGCCAGCGTGGTGGACTATGGCTTGATCCCCCTCGTATTGAAAGGAGGTCCGTGCCCAGCAGTGGGACATTAAAAAGGGCTGAATACATGCACTACAAGTAGGTACATAATAAATTATGAATATGTAATCTAAATCTCAAATTGTGTCACTGTGTAGTTAGTTAATTGTGTTGTAAATTGCATAGATCCTATCTCACATAGATAAGTAAGACAGTATAAATCTAATCTGTTCATTTATTTATAGACGTATTACGATAAGCGGATAACTAAACAACTGCCACTTTATTACATTTAGAAAAGGTTTTCATCACAAAAACATAGATATCTCTTTCGTATCATGAATGATATATGGATATTCATCCACTAAGCCACCCATCATCAAACGATAATCATGTTAATAATCACAAAAGCCAGAAATAACTACATTATCCAGATTTTAATACGTTTTACATGCTACTATGTTTATATGCTACAAGGGATTTATATGCCCTTTTAATCTAAGCTCGAGTCTATCTAAGAGTACTAAACATACACACATACAAGCTCTCCAATTTTTAAGAGGAAACCGATATTCGTTAACAATAAATAAGCCATAAATAGAAAACTCGTTGGCTTATTAGATTTTTCGAAAAAGCTGAGGATACTTCAAAGCTTATTATTTCATATAAGTTATAACTTATTATTATATAATATAGTATTACAAAAGAAGCATCACTTATTTGAGTAATATCTCAATATTATTTAATATGTGTAACAATATTCAAGGTAATTTTATATCTAAACGTGGACATCGCATGATGTTCAATAAAAGTTTTACGAATGTTCTATTATTATTATGAAAGTACTACATATTTTTTCAAGTTGGTTATTATAAATTATCATTTAACTCAAGTGGCTAGTATTCAGCATAATATTGAAGTGAAACTTCTTTAGAATCGTTGTGATTTGAAACTTGATGAAACGGAAATACGACAATAAAAAGAGCCAAACACATAAATATATAAGATTAAGCCGACGAGAGAATGAGATAGAACACATTGCCAAGTTGCCATGGTAACCGTTGTTATTGTCTGATATTCGTTCGTATATGATATTCTATAAATATATAATTTAGTATATCTAATATGCCTTATTTAACTATTTGAGATAGAAAAATAATAGACTTAATGACTGAATAATATGTAATGTATATTTATGTCAAATAAAATGTAAAATAACTTTTGAACTTAGTAAAAATGTTATAAAAAAATAAACCTTATAATTATCCTACTCCTCCTATAATTATACTCCATATTAATCTCATTTTCTCGTAGGTTTAGTCCGGTCAAATTGGACATAAAAATAGTGATAAAATAACAAAAACTCCGAGAAAGCTGAATTTTGGTAGAGACCTTGGCTACATCAGTAGAAATAAAGTGCCTAAAGTCTCCATCGTACCTATGCGCGCTAAAATAATTATTCAAGGTCAAAAGTAAAATTTTCGGTTTTTTGGATTTTTCTCGAAAACGGTAAGTTTTATCAAAAATATAGTTCAGACAAAAATTGTTGACCATAAAATTATGAACAGGAGAAAGCACTTGTAAATATGCCATATCAAAAATATAAGCATTCATTTATCGATAAGATCGATATGTAGGTATCGATAATAATGTCTATTTCAATATGATTTTTCATTAAATATCTAATGTACAGATTTGGCTTAGTTACAACTTTATTATATGTACCTATAGAGGCCGAATCTATAGAATTTTAAAATTTTTGTCTGTCTGTTGCCGCATCACAGAAAAACTACTGAAGGGATTTTAATGAAATTTGGTATGGTGATAGTTGGTTATCCGGGTTAACATATAGTATACTTTTTACCGCGGGAAAATGTCTCATTTCTGAAAAAAAAAAATACAATAACTGCATTGTTTAATAAATTATTTTTTATTTGTTTATATTGTTTTATCATATCACATTCAAGACTCACAAGTCTCAATTATAGTAGCAATAAAATAATCTGTATATTAAATTAATTTATGTTTTAATGCTGTTTCAGAATTTAAATTTACTCTCAAATATATCAGAATATAAATATTTCATATAAAATTAATTCATTTCAAAAGATGCATTTATAATTCCTTTTTCCGTGCTCTTTGCTTTCCGTAAGCAGGGAATATCAAACATTTTTTGTTTGTCAATCAATTCTTCAGCTTCCTCAAATGTTTGGGGCATATCTATACCCGTTGTCTCTGGTAAAATTAATGCTAGTACGGCTCCTATTAAAGCAATAATCCCGATAATAACAGGAGGTAGCCAAACTACAAAGTTTTTCATGTAACTTATGTAGGGGGATACTATGCAAGCGACGTAACTACATATATGAATTATTGATGCACCGGCCCCTCTGACGGGAGTAGGCAACATTTCTGCAGCCCACTGTAAGCATATATTACAACTCATATTAATGGCAAACCTGGCTATTACGATACATATTACTGATGGTAACCCAGGGCTGACAAGAGAACTAATTAAAGTAAATGTACAAGATACAGAAAAGGCTCCTATTGATAACCATTTCCTTCCGGTTAAGTCTAAAATAAATGAAAGAAGTATTAGGGAAGGGAATTCAGACAATGAAATTAGGGTAAAAGAAAGAAAAAAATCAAAACCTAGGCCGCCTATGCTCCTAACTAGAGAGTCAAAAACGGCCATAGCGCACATGTATACTAAGCACATGGCTATAAATATTTTTCTTAATTTACGAGATTTAAAAATATCTATAATGTTGGTATCTTTTTGTTTAACTTTCTTTAAAGCAGACATTTTAAATTGTTCCATCAATTTTATTGGGATTTCTTTTTTATTAAATCGTCCAATAGTGGTAACTTTGTTGACAGTTTCATCAATACGTCCTTTAGAGAGGAGCCACCGAGGACTTTCAGGAATCACAAATGGAGCTAAAATTGCTAATGCCATAGGAATGCTTGTAGCTAAACTCAGTGTTTTCCAATGTCCACATGCAAGAGCTATCCAAGGCAAAGACACAACGCCTATCGTATAAAAGATGGCGAAGGGCACATTCGCGATAATGGTTCTATATTTAGGTGCAACATATTCTAAGACTAAAAGGTATGTCATTATCATACAATTATCATAGGACATACCCATTACAAATCGGAAAAAAGAAAACTGAATAAGATTTTGAGCAAATATGCTAATAATACCTGCGATACATCCGCACATATTACTAAGAGCAGCTGCCGGTAGTCTACCGTATCGATCGCCTACCCAACCGAAAATAAATCCTCCGAAGATAGATCCAATAAAAAATATAGCTTGGGCTGTTGCTTGGTAACTACTCTTATCACAAACCCATTCCAAATCACTCGAAATAGTCGGATATGGTATTTCAGTTTTGTTAAATTCCCATCCAAATGGGCAGGACTCCGTCAACCACGTCTCATTCGGTCGTTGCCCCGTCACTAAAACTTCACTCCAATTACTGACATACACTTTACAATGTGAATATCCATAGGGCGCTTCTAAATCTTGGGGAATGGCTAAATCTCTTCTTTCCATTTCAGTAAGATTCGCTAACTCTGGTACCCAACACCAATGGTTTGGTGAGATTTCCGTCATAAATAGTTGTGAAAAATACGCAAAAACGCCGTAAATATAAAATGGGAACGTTAAACAAAACAAAAATATTTGGTAAAGTCCAAATTCTCCAGCAGCTGACAACAATTCGTCGTAGTCTACTTCTCTTTTGGAGTTACTTTCTTCTATGACATTTTGTATAGTTTCATCATTACTTTTCTCGACCTTTACAATTTTATTTGTATCCTCCATTTTTCTATCTCGTTATTTCTTAGTTTATTAGGAAATATTTTTCAAGTAATGCCTCTGGCTTGTATTACAACCACCATCGCAAGACTTGCCACAATTAATGCAATCTCCTTAGTAGTTAGCACATGTGTTAGATACTTCATTAAATATAAACCATAATAGAGAGATAATATTTACATTATATTTACTTTATTATCTCACTGCAATGAACTTCTCACATAAATATACTTTAATAAAACCAAGAATCACTTATTGACATGTACACAATAATTATAAATTAATTTAATATTAATTTAAATATATTTACTGACGTGTATTTGTTTAGTACATCGTCACAGTAATATCACGAGAGAAACAAAATTGTGCAAAAATTACAAGTATAACTTTATAACGATAAAAACTAGGACAAAAATGACGCGTGGTAATGAATCTATGACCTTTAGTTTAATGCCTAATGTACAGATAGCTGCGGCTATAAAATTTTAAATGATCAATTTATGTTAATGATATTCATACCTAGTGTAATTATGATTTTGGTGGAATTTTAATTAATCATCTTTTTTATTCTGAATATGCTCATATTATTACCATGCAATTCTAATTAATGTAAAATCTTTTATTCAGCATTAAGTTACTACGTTTTTACCCAACTGCGGCGAAGCCCAAAGGGTTATGTGCTTGACCTGTATGTAAGTACGTATGTCTGACATTATGTTCCTTCGTAATTACTAAATGGCGTAACCGATTTTGATGATCCATATGTCCAGGGCCGGATTTAGGCGTGTGGAGGCCCCGGGGCAACAAAAAACTCTGTTATTCTTAACGCGAAATGCACGGAAAGTGGTTTCACGGTAATATTATGCATTACATTACCGTGGTGGTAGTTAGCGTGGAAATAAAAAAATAAGAAATATATGTATTAGATTTTATTCGAAATCCATCCCGTAAAAGGTTAAAACGGGGTAATAAAGTTTATATGGGCAAATGATTATTTACAATCAGCATTACTTGAAACTCGGTATTAATGCTCTTCAATACAATGAAATATTCAGCATCTTTCGAAATTCATTCCATAAGGGGGTAAAATGAGGGATGAAACTTAGTATGAAATTCTGTAATTGATGCACGGAAAGTGGTATTTACCTTTGAAATGAAAAATAAAACAATACTAATATCACTTTTTTTCGAAATTCATCCCTTAAAGGGGTAAAATGAGATTTTGCTATTTAAATGGCGAAAATTTTTTTATGATCAAAATTACTTGAAACTTGGTATTAATGCTCTTCAATACAATCAAATAAACATGTATTTTAGTTTTTTTTTAATTCAGCCACTAAGTGGGTAAAACTGGGCGGTGAAGTTGGTGTTGTTGAATATATTTAAACAAATTAACATAAGTCAAGTTCTCCGTAAGTGCACACTTAATGTGTGGATATAAAGTAGATAACGGAGATTATTTCAAACCCAAAGGAAAATTATGTATAACTTTTCGGCTGACCATAGCAGTGACAACTATAATAGACCTTGGGCGCGAGAGAGAGAACCTAGCTAAATAGTATCCTGCTATCTATATCCTCCTTCTGAAGGTTGGCACAACTGTAATGAAAAAGTCACTTAAGCTATGTAACGGGATTAGACTGTGAATTATTCATTAAACATCATAGTGGCCGCTGTGTTTGCTGGATGTGCTCGGGGGGAATCAGAATTTATACCTCGAATACCACTGATAACTTCTGACTACGCCTTTGAATTTATTCTACTGTAATTCCTCCTTAAAGTTTGCTTTACAATGACCATTAATATATCTTAGATTATACATATACGAGTATATATAATAGATATTCGATATGACATCATATAAATTCAATGGAAATTAAAACTGAGCAAATTCGAGCGTAGCAGCGGGCAAATAGCTACAGCAAAATAATAATGGCACTTTATACTTAAAAAAGAAGGAGAAGGAGGGAGACTGTAAGCTTCAGATGTACATAGCATTGGGCATGAACGAATTAGCCACATTGGGTCTTCAAAATTAATGTAGATGTAAGCCTGCTAGTATTTCAGTTAAAAAAATTATCCAAGTTACATGATTCTAAAGTCGTAAACATTGTATGCGAGTTGTATCATTGTATTCTCTTCCTCTAATAATTATCTTACAAAGTGCTCTCCTTGTGTTTCCATTTCATTAAAAGTACTAAAATGTACGTATTACTTGTACGATGAGCCAATGTGAACTTATTATGGATGTGAATAGGGCTAATGCTACGAATAAATACTTATCATTTATTCGTAGGGCAAATACTATAAATAAAAGGGAGGTAATGGACCTCCGAGACGAATAGTTTTCCCGACATGTTTGAGATTGTCGAGTTTTTTTTTTTGAATAATGAAGGTCCATTTAATTTCATGGTTAAATGTGAATACTCAGATTCCATTCAAGGCAAGGTGAGATGCCCAACACGTATGAGGATGATTAAATAATCATATAATCTAGGTACTACTTAAATACAAATCTTGAAAATTTATGAATAACTATTAGCAATTTTAACTACAGTTACCTACCTACCTACCTATACCTTAGTCACAGCAAAAAAAATATAATTAGGTCCATGGTTAATTGTTATTTCGATTAACTGAATACTAATTGTGATCTTGAAATAACGTAATATCTATATATTTAAGCAATTCCATTCACATTGGACTATATTAATTATAAACCTTGAATATAATCTTCTACTAATTTTTGGGTCAATTTTTGCGGTTTATTTTTCCAATGCCACAATCCTCTTATTTGTTTTTCCGAACACATCTCAACTAAGGTTAAGCAAAAATTTAAAATTCCCTTTAATATATAATTCTTACATCTAGCATCATAATATTCAAATACTTATGTACATACATATGTACTAATTTCTTGAATATTTTAGTAAGATGTTTTATTAGCATTGCACGAGTGTACATTATAATGCGCACATGTGATAAGGATAAAATTCTGCATTTTAAAATTATATACGTAATTTGTGAAACCTCACGATGTTTAATATAACAAGTCAAAAAACACAAAAACCTAAAAAAATGCAATACAAAAAGGAAACCATATACCGAATACTTTAAGCGTACGCGAAAAAAAGTTAATTAATCAAATAATATCTCTTCTTATTAAGATTTTTTATTAACTCTGGTTTTTCTAAAAGTTTTTATTCAATTTTAAACGAATATTTCTTATAACAAAGATTAAACTAACTGTATAACAAAAATTACTTACCAAGGGTGATGTCAGCGTTTGATGCATGTACACTTTTGAAAATATTAAGTTTGCGAGCGGTTACAATTGCGATGAATGTGACCACTTACGATGGTCATCGCGCGACACGAGTGCGAAATGGCGGGGCTGAGCGCTTCTCTCAACAGGCATGCGTGCTGCGTTCGTCTTTTCACAAAAAATCTCCTGCAATCTGCCACTTTTCCATTGTATTACTCATCGCGCTTACAATAACAACACACTTTCGTTTGTCAATGAAAAGATAAATTATCAATAGGAATATATAATTTGCTATTATTGTTTCGTTGTTATTATTGCTTAATTTTGAATATAAGTACATATTATGTATATCAGTGCCATCACTACATCGTTAGGCAATATTGATAGAGAAATGATTATGTATTAAAAATAATATATTGAAGTACTAAATTTTACTATAATAAAGCATTCTAAAATATCATATTTTGAGAACAGAAAAGTCAGCGCCATCTACAGTAATATTGTGACACTCTTTATTGCGTACTTACTACACTTGAAGTCCATTATTATATTGTAGGAGTGGAATAGTTAAATAATACGTGTTATTCCATGTTTCAGGCGTATTATATTTATATTAGCTCTGGGTATTTTGTTTTATAAAAGAGTTTCTTTATTTTAAATAAGCTTTTAGATTATGAAGCTAGAAATTATGTAGGAAAAGCTCGCAGCTGATAAAGTATACCTACGTACACGATGTAATACGTAGGTGCATTGTAATGTTTCAGTTTATTAACAATACAATTATTAGATGACAAATAAAGTAATAATTTCATTTTATTAATACTTTATAATAATTAAAGTAGTAATATTAAGTAAAATTTAAATTAATTATTAAAATAGAGATAACTTGTACAATTTTTGTGACTAATTAAAAATAATTATATTAAATATCAATTTTATAAGTTCATATCATCGATTATTATCTAGACTTCTTAGAATTAAATACCATGATAGTGAGTAGGAAAAGTTATAGTCGTGGAAAATTTCCTGTACACTGTTACAACTATCAATGAGAAGGCTATGATAAAACAAAAAAGTAATATAACAGAACAGCAGTAGTTTATGCGGAAGATTCTTCTTATTTTATTTATTAAACCTCTCGTACTTTTTTCCGAGCTGTAAAAAATATATATTTTAAAAAATCTGTGATCATAACCTATTCTATTTATTATCTTAAAATCATAAAATTTTCGTCGTCAACGTAATGGGAAATTTTATGTTGTAAATATTAAATGCCTGGAAAGTGAACTTACGTACTATATGTTCGTCGAATAGGCATAATCTATATAATGTAGTAATTTTAACAGTATTTTTCATATTAAACAAATATTTGTAACAAAAACTGTTTTTATTGATACGCGTTTTGTACTGCTACAATACGGCTCATTAGATTCACTCTTTACTACTATGAATAAAAACATACTATATATATTTTTCTATTTACAAGTGTTGCTAAAGTATGAACCAATTCTTATAAGACTTTGATGATGTGTCATCTAGACGAGCACGAAGATGTCAAATCTACCGTCGACGAAAGTCATGTTAAAAATGTATCACGTATTAGTATTATAAATAAATAATATTAAGTAATCTAGGAGTGTATATATTTACTAGCTTTGCCCGCGGCTCCGCCCGCGTTCAGATGACCAAAAACCAAATTCTTAGGTTTTACATATTAGTATACTCTTACATTGCAGTTTTTGTATTTTTTTTCACAGAAATTTTCCCGCGGTAAAAGGTATCCTAAATGTTGACCAGCTATCATCACCATACCAAATTTCATTAAAATCCCTCCAGTGGTTTTTCTGACACAGACAGACAGGCAAAAATTCTAAAAACTATAGATTCGGCCTCTATATCGATAATAATGTTTATTACAATAAGATTTTCCAAAAAATATTTAATGTATAGATTTACTATATTATTTATATTGACAATTTTATTATATATATATAGAAGATATATGTAATCCATACTAAGTAATATTATAAATGTTAAAGTGTGTGTGTTTGTTTGTTTATTTGTTTCTTTGTTTGTTTGTTTGTTTGTTTGTTTGTTTGTTTGTCCTTCTTTCACGTCGAAATGGAGTGACGACTGAGTGAGGACTGGCCTGATTTTTTGTGTGGGGATAATTGGAAGGCTGGAGAGTGACATAGGATACTTTTTACCGTGGGAGATTATCTCATTCACACGAGAAAACACGTTATAATTCAATCCACTTGACGTCACGTATGGTTCAGTTTGTAGTAACCCTACTTGCTGTGTCAGCGGTCGCGGGTTCGAGTCCCACTGGGGACATCATTTGTGTGATGAGCACGAATGTTAGCACTCAAGTCATGGCTGTTTATATTTATAATATGTATGTATTTAAAGTTATATATGTGTACTGTATCAACTATCTGGTGTCCATAACACAAGCCTCGTCTTAAGTAAATACGTGTTTTAGCATTTTTCGAAAATGATCCCATAAAGGGGTAAAATAGGGGATGAAAGTTTGTATGAAACCTAAATTTTTAAAGTTTTTTTGCAGTTTTAGCGCGAGCGACGCCGCAGGTTTTGCTAGTATATATATATTTTACAGTATCATTTTTAACTGGGCGCCAAAGCAAGCGGCTGGTAGGTATTTAATTACTTACATTGGTGTCGGTAATGGAAGAGACGAGTCTCGGCCTAAGATAAAAGGCATTAAAATTGCCTTCTCTTGAGGTAATAGAGAAAGTTCCATATAAATTTTTCCCTAAAACATATTAATACGATTTTATTTAAAATTTTGAATAGTATAATATACAGCATGTTATAATGGGACTTAGAGAATATATGATTTACTGCTAATTGGCTTGTTTCAGGAAATTGATCCAAACTCCGCAATGGCCACCAGGAAGAGAAATTTCTTATCGAAAATAAGTTAAGCTTCAATGGAGAATTCAAAACGTGTAAAGAGCATTCATTTATTTTATTGGCACCTCGCGACATCGCAGTCAAGTTCAACATAATCAAACCTGTAAAGAAAATGAAATAGATAACAAAGTAATTGTGGTGAGTGGACAATTAGTTAGATGGAGTCCAAAAAAAATTTTTTTGTTATTTAGTAGCGTGTGGAATTTTTCCTTATATTATATAAAATATATTTTTAAATTACATACATAAAAGCTCGGTCGGACGAATTTCAAGGGAGTCGCAAAAAGGTTTTGATTATGAAAGGATTTGTAAATAAATGTTCCATTTGAAGAGGTTTACATGCCTACTACCTAATTTTGAATCATAGAGGTGAAGTATATAAAACTACTTATTTCAAAGGTAATATTTATTCTCAGTTTAAGAATTTGTAAGAAGTACCTAGGTATATGTAAAATATAAAATATAAAATCTGCATTTGTTCATTTTATTTTTAAGAAATGGCACTCTCCATTTATTGCACACATAAAAATATTACAAGAAAGTACATAAGTAATGTACTTTTACAAGTTATACAGTTTATACGTAGAAAATCATTGTTTTAGAAATAATTGAGTCATTGATACATACTATGTTTAAGATATATAGTTCGAGAGAACTATGTACATATGTATGTATGTATGTATGTATGTATGTATGTATGTATCTTTTTCAACGTCCCACTGCCAGGCATAGGCAAAGATAGCATGTACGAGTATACATGTGTAACTAAAGTAATAATATCACTTGGCTAGCATGACAATGCACACAAATGGAAGCTGTAAAAATTTACTGCTCAGAATAGGTATCATAGAACGAATTCTGTAGCACCGACACGTGTAACGAACACAATGTTTAATAAATAAATCGGAATTGATATTTATATAAATACAATTTTCATTTCTTTATTTCTATATGTGTGCGAATGTTTGTTACTCCTTCAGACTAAAACTACTGCTACACCTACACCCGAGTGAAACGAGAGAAATTCGCTAGTTTTCTATAAAAATTGTTTTTATCGTTTTGTTCTTTCACGAAGCAACGACCAATGTGATTTTTGGCACAGACATTGCTTATATGAAAAAGCTTTTATCCCTTTATATGAAGTAGTTTCCGTAGATTATTCGTCAACTGTGTAAATATGGATTGGATATTAACAGTGCGATGATAACCAGTATTTAAGTTTTTGTATATTTTGAATACCAATATTAAGAAAGAAACGTTTCTTTATTTATTGTATATTTCCTCTATAGCGATAACTAATCGTGACCTGATTTTCATGATTATGTTCTTGATGAAAGGGTCTAAGATTTAGGTCCTTAAGAATGAATGGTCTCATATGAATATATGTATAAAAATTCGAGCTGTGGAGAAAATAATTATTTTTAAAGTCAATATATCATTTTAGTTAAAAACAATTTGCTGTTAATAGTAAATGAGTTACCAAAACAGTCGTAGGGTGGTGTAGCTTCATAATCCATCAGTTGAACTACCAACATAGGGTGTATATTCTCCTCGTACTCCGTGAACGTTCCTTTCTTCATGTAAATAATCTAAAACATTATAAACGTTAGCAATAATGTGGCTAGTTTAAAGGAAATTCTAATCACAGAGATCTTCTCCAGACCAGGACGTCCTTATGGGCTCGTCTGTTGTTCTGTTTCCCACTATATATTTTGCAGAGTCATAATATAGGCTACACATGTCATGTCTACAGTGGTTTAAGCTTATTTTAAGGTTCTCTGCTTTAATACGTACAAATTTAACATTTTTTTCTTATTCCTATATATAGAGAGGGACTTCCCTGGAATAACACATCCTCGCGAGTAAACTCTTGTAATTTAAAAATCTTACTTATTAAAATAACCAAAAGTCAGACCTTTTGTATAGCGGGTTGATATTGAAAGTTAAATTTCATTCTCCAGTAAAAGTTCGCTTCCCCTTTACAATTATATACGGGGTCTGTGGTTTGAGATTGCTCAATGGATCCAAGCCATCTAAACAAAAAAATAACACTGTCCTGACTAATATTCTAAATGGGAAAATGTGTTTATCGTTTGTTTTATCGTCTGTCACGTAGCAACGGATATATGTAATTTATGGCTACAAGATGTTAGGACGGGAAAATAAGGGGTACTATTTATCGCTGTACATCGATTGGTTGTAGTCGAAGTAGTAATTAATACAATTTTTTATGGATTAAATCATAAAAGTATTCTTATACAATATCTGTTTTTAATAGTTATTTATGACTAGCGACTCAGCCTCGCTTGGCTCGGGTTCGTTCCTTTTAACGTTCACCCCGTTAAGGGATGATTTCTGGGATAAAAGGTATCCTGTTTCCTTCCCAGGGTCTCAAACTATCTTCTTACCAAATTTTATCTAAATCGGCTCAGTACCTAGATCCAGAGATTACGCCCTACAACGTCACAAACTCACAAACTTTACCTCTTTATAATATTAGTATAGGTAACAATGTATGTACAATTGTTAATTCGAATAAATTTAGATTGGTTTGAACAAATATACCTTTACATTTATGTATACAGATTTACTCACGCTCTAATGTAAATATTCGATGTCACGCTACTTGAATATCCTTTTATTATATCACGAACAGTATATATGATCACTCGAAGTTCATAGTCTTCTATCTTTTTGGGAGTTATATTAACAGGTGGTGGAATATAAGCATCAATGTCTAAAGGCATTATGTCTACCCACATTTGTAGCTTACCCTGTGAGTTTTATGTACTCGTATTACACGTACATAAGCGAAGTAATTAGCATCACCTGGGACTTATTAAATTAAATTGAATTGAAAATATACACATGTAGATATACATACTAGATTATGTACTTTATTATATATGTATACATCAATAGTTAAAAAAATATATTTAATCAAGTAAATAAGTTTAAAACTTTAGCTTAATACAAAAAATGAATAGAAACAAAAAAACCGACTTCAAACAAAAGCACTAAAAAGTAATAAATAACTGATTGGTAGTTTTCATTTACTATACATACCTAATCAAATATTTTCGAAGTCGGTGCTTTGCTTTGTATCGACTGGCACCGACTTCGAAAATATTTGATTAGGTATGTATAGTAAATGAAAACTACCAATCAGTTATTTATTATTTTTTAGTGCTTTTGTTTGAAGTCGGTTTTTATTTTTTTGTTAAAAAGTTTTTATTTTTCCCTTTTTAGTGTAGACAGTAGTAGCAAAGTAAGAATTCTAACGTCTTAGGCTTGTCAAATCAAACAAAATAAGCCCAAACAAAGTATCTACTACTAGTCGTTGAAGAGTTCCACCTATCCACCTTCTGGCCTTACCATCAAATCAGGTCAGCAATACCGAACCACTGTACTATCAACAGAAATAGAAACACTTGCAAAGTTTCAAGTCAATATGACAATTAGAAGTAGGTTAAATTCATCATTATTATCGTATTTTTTTGAAATTTATATGGGACCAATCTGGAAGTCAATAAATGTCCAAATCGGTTAATAAATGACGGAGTTCTGAGGTAACAAACATAAAAAAAATACAGTCGAATTGAGAACCTCCTCCTTTTTGAAGTCGGTTGAAAATAGAAAATTGATTAGTAATGCAAAATTTTAGTAGTTTGTACGTCAAATAAATTTGATTAGCTATTTCAGAGATAAATTATATCCGACATACAGACAGAGAAAAGGTATTAATAATGGTTATTTAGGCCAGAGTGTTTAACTAGGTAATCATTTCAATAGGTGAGCATTTCCTTTTTTAAAGTATGTAAATAATTACAGAAAATATATGTATACCTGTTCCACTCCAGGTTTTTCTGCATCGTATAGAGTCCGCGTTTCCACGTGCTCGGTCACCAGGTGGAATCCGCATATAGGTAAAGTATGCCATTTACGTAAAATACTCAAACATAAATTTTCCTTTCGTTCCGAAGCAGAAATAAAGCTTTTATCTAGAATATTCAGAAATAATATTGAGTAGAGAGTACCTACTATAGGTAACGTCTAATAAAAAAAATTTGAAATGCAAATCCTAAAGTAGATTGTATAGAAAATAATGTATTTATAATAAAAAGAGTAGCTGTGCGAGAACTAGCGAAGGTCACCAGTTTGTGATGATGCACATTTTACTATTATCTACTACAAATATAAATTTTCTGTACATAAAATAAACATATACATATTTCTGATTACCTTCTTCATTATCCTTGTATATAACACCATTAACTGCAATTGTATTACTATAATATATTGGTGCAGGAAGGTGGTTTTTGACACATAGCTCCTCTAAAATTTCTGAAGGTATCAAACAATCGCGCCATTTAAATGGACCTTTTCTGCAATAATATCAAAGAGTTTATTTTTGTTTTACGCTTGCCTAGCTTTTGCTGCCGTTTATATTAATTACTAGCATTGCCCGCGGCTCCGCCCGCGTTCTGATAACCAAAAAAAATCTTAGATTTTATATATTAGTATATTCTTACATTACATTTTTTGTATTTTTTTCTCAGAAATGAGATATTTTTCCGTTGTAAAAAGTATTCGTTATGTTGACCCGGATATATCAGCTATGACCATACCAAATTTCATCAAAATCCGTCCAGTAGTTTTTCTGTGATGCGGTAAGAGACAGACAGACAGACATACAGACAGACAAAAATTCTAAAAACTATAGATTCGGCCTCTGTATCGATAATAATGTCTATTTCAATAAGATTTTCCAAAAAATATTTAATGTACAGATTTGACTCAGAATTTGAATATATGTATAGATTATAATTATTATATGTACCTATAGATAATATTATATACAAACAGCGCCACCTTTTAGCAAAATTTATTACTTACAGAAGCCTACGTGTTACTCTAGGTCATAGTCTTTATGTACTTTTTTTTCCAAATCCGTCCAGCTGTTTCAATATAAAGAAGTAATAAACATACATACACACATATACAAAATTTCACATTTGACGTATTTTGTGGAATTTCAAATACGAAGAAACTGATTTTGATATATTAGACAGAACCTATTATATACATATTCTTTATTGCACACAAATTTTGACCGACTTATGTATCTCTAGAAGAGATCACTTTTAGAGAATCCATGGAAGTAAGATATAGTGCTTTATAATGTGCCAAAAAGGAGAATTCAATACGTAGTAGTACATAGTAGTAAAATTGTAAATAATATTCATATACATAAATAAGATAAAAATATATTTTTATAAATATATTATAGCTAACATATTATACATACTACATACCATCACATATTATATTATAAATACGTATATTTAATACTTTCTAATAATACTTTCTTATTTATATTTCTTATTTATATTTAATAATACGTATATTCTTATCCTAGATACCTATGTACCTATGTCATATTATGTATTTAAGACTATCGACTTATTCTCGCTTCGCTCGGGTGCGTCCCTACGTACGTTTTAATTTTTTTGTGCGGAACCCTAATTATTTATCTAAAATAAAAGTAACCTATGTTACTCCTTGTAACATTAGCTATCTGGCTATGAAAGTCCCGTCAAAGTTAGTCTAACTGTTTCACAGATTAGCCGGAACAAACAGACAAACGAGACAAGAGTTTTAAAATTGTGCTTTTCTTATAACTACCGTACCTATATAATTTTAGTAAATTTTTAGTAAAAAGCTGTTATTTTGACATTACAAACGAATACTTCAATTTTATTTGCCTTGATTTTTGTTCACCTGCTATATTCAAACGGAAGTCCAACTCGAGCCCGGTGTTTGGTATAAATTCGGTCTTCTAAATCAATAGACGTAGAGCCTATTAGTTCATCTGTAGTGCCATAGTCATACAAGGATATCTCTAATAAATAATCTGCTGGTAAACAGCATCGAAATTCATACATTCTGAAATATTATTAATTCTTAATTCTTGTGAAAATTTATTTATATTTCATATTTTTTTTAATATAAAAATGTAAAATATACGAGTGCTATTTACTACTTTTTTACGATGGTAATATCTTAATAATATGAGCAGTAGGTACGCACAGTCAGGTAGAAATCAAAAAATGACTATTTGCTAAATCTAGCTTTTTCTTTATCTAGCTTTAGATTTAATAGAAAGTCTTATATCGTGCTCACAGGTCGCAGTTTACCGAAACGGTTTTTAAATACGGTTTCCAGTGACGTTTGCAAACATAATATGGTTGTATTCATATCGTGCGGCAAAATATGATTAAAAAACAGATTCTTTTAGTTGGCAAATCATATACGAAAACTGATACAGTAAACCGCATCATGTAAACGAAACAATACATAAACCATATTATAAACCGTTTATGGTTTACCGAATCGGAAAACCGAATCATAAATGTAAAAAAAATTTAGGTAAATTTGTTTAAAATAAGTAAATATACCTACATTTTTTTGCCGATACTACAAAATTTATATGTATAAAAACCGTTTCAATAAAACCGTTAAGTTAGGAAATGGCTCTTTAAAATGATTTCAAGTCAACATTATCCACTTACTTTCCAAAAATCGGGTTAAATGTATTCGGTAAATAGTTGTTACGGTCTCCTAAATATTTGTTTCCACAGTTTAATATAACGTAAGGGTTTGATTTTCCAGCGAATCCTTTTGTTTTCAAATGAATACCTTTGATTATGTAGACACGGATAACAAATTTTAAAGGGTTGTTATTTGGGTGATCATTAAAGTATCTGCAATAGCAACATCCTAGTTTTTTAAATAGTGCTACGAGAGAAAAGTAGAGCCAGCATTATACTCTAAGCTGGATGCTGTAGTCTACTTTGAATTTCAAATGAGATATCTATAGCTGTTTAATAAGATGTAACAACACGCCATGTATATGCAATTACTATATTTACTTTAGAGTCAATTGCGCTAATAAGATTCTATAAAGTAAAGGGCTTGCAAGTATGTAGAGATCAACAACAGAAAAAAATTCACAGAATCATCGTTCATCAGCCTTAGTCTAAAAACTTAAAACTAGTAACTTAATTTAAAGAAATACACTATTTTTTTAAATAATAAAATAAGCTTATATTAAAATAAAAACAAAATAAGTGAATTTCTTCTTTATTCTCTATGGCCTTTTATAAGTTTACTAATATTTTACGCACCCTGATCGCGATCTTATAAAAAAATATATAAAACCCATTAAAATTCATGTGTAATACTATACTCTTACATATCCATGATTTAACTCTAATAACATGTAACATATTATACTCGAACAAAAATGTGAATACCCTTTATTCAAATCCAGTCCACTAGAAGTAACAGCTACCATACTATCATGAGGTGGCCATCTGTAGATAGCGATTCCAGCTTTTAGAATACCGCAGTAAATTTGCTCGTCTTTCTCAGGGATACCTGTTTTCTTTCCATTATAAAGTTTTAGTGCGCTACACCAGTCTCGGAACTTTGAATATTCCGGTTGTTTTTCAAGCTCCGAATCGTAGATCTTAGAAGATAATGTAATAAAATTTTACAGTGTTACAAATATAAAATAATTAACTTTTAATATTATTAAACTTTTAATGCAGTATGTGGAAAAATAAGAAATATTATGAAAAGTTTATATAAGTAAGGTACTGTTTTTTCTTAATACTTACAATTAATTTGTCCCCGATAGAATTGTCGTCAGAATCCTAGAAAATGGAAATGATTTGCTAAAATTAATGAAAGATATTTTAAAATAGATTTACACTTTAAATAAAATAAATAATCTAAGTATTATTAGATTTACACTGTAATGTTGGGAAAATGTTTGAACTTACACTTTGTGATAGTAAATACTTTTGCCACCAATCAACTTGTTCTTCAACTATTGATTTTTTATGTAACAATTTGTTTTGATTATCGTGTTTTTCTGAGACAAAAGTAGGTAAGAGGGTGTATTCTTCCTCATCCGGCTCTTTTCTCCAAAATAAATCACGCCATTTCGTACCTTTTGTCTTCAGATTTAAAAATGAACTCCTAATAGTGGCATTACTGCCATAATTACTTTTTTCTTTAAGCTTTTCACCACTTTTCTTAACAAATAAATTTGGATTTGCTATAAATATAGTTTTTATTATAAAGGGAATTACCCTAAATGAATTAAAATAATAATTAAATTTTTAAAGAATGTTGATATTTTTATATATAAATAGTGTCATTAAAAAATTACTTTGAACGAATTCTGTAGATACAATAGAGGCTCGTTTGAGAGAGGCGTCTCTTTCGTTTTTAGGCCACCAATTGACTATGTACTTATGGGGATTCTTCATCGTATTGATACCGAGATAAGAAGTTCTGCCAAATGTACCGCTATCGAATAAAGTAATGCTTAACATAGGGCAGTACGGTTCATTTAAAGGTGCCTCAAATGTATGTGATGCTTTCCCATTCCGGAAGTTGCTATTTAATTCCTTATCGTAAATGATATCTGATTTAATATTTAGGTCTTCAATTTCTAAGATAACGCCAGGCTTTTGTGCAAAACCTACATTTCGAAGTCCCCACCAATAGACATCTGCTCTGTAGAAAATATTAAATTAAAATTATAACTTTATATTTTATTAAGACTCTATTCATTTGAATAGTTATTTAACTTGATTTTGACTTACTTATAGGATGTAGATATAGGTAATAAATTTTTGGGTATAGGCTCAATATTATTCAAATATTCAAGTGTCTTGGGTTCATCTCCTCTAAAGCTCTCTACAGGACTGTACGTTATTTTCTTAACTAATTTCTCTGGAACCTAAAACATCTTATATTTGTATAAGATCTGAATATGGAAGTAAGGAAATAATGTGCAGAACTTTATTCATTTTCTATAATACTATCTTCTGCATAGGCTAGTCACAGTAAGTGTAGCTTACAAGTTTTTTTTGTTATATTGGAAAGCTTATTTATAGAAAAGTTACAATAAATCTTAAGTTTGTCCCATAAATCACCCACAATCAACTAATATCGTAGGTGCTAATTGTAATTGTGTTATTACTTATTAAGACATTATGGTTCACTTAATCAATAGGCTTTTAAAATAACTACTATATACGAATTTATCTAGTCTAGACGTGAGTATCGATTGCAATTATAGTAAAGAATCGGTTTGGTGAAAAAACCTGATATTTTACATATGTTTTGTAGCGACCTCTATGTAAAACAAATGATACCAGATATTGTCCTACATACAAAATGCTTTTGTTGAACTTGAACATAAATTACTTCATGATTTTACATATTTTTACTAGATGGCGTTGATTTCCAATCAGTATAACAAATAATAATTACTTATTTAATTTTATACATGATTTGAAAATATTACGTTAAAAATACAAGTGATAATAATTAAGTGACGATATCCAATGTCCAAACGAATGCCTTTTACATTAAAACAAGTCTTTTTTTTATAATGGCTTATAGTTGCGTTAACAGACGCAATCCATTCTGCCAGTGTCACGTTTTGTGAGGACGACACGAATGAGATTGAGCGGTAATTTTGAAATTTGGTAACTTTATTGTGGAATTAAAACTATAAATGAATGATCGGTCTACAAGAGTAACCTATAACAATAGAAAAATAATTACGTAATACAAAAATGACACATTGATTGAGAATGAAAAAATATATACATAATGAGAACTATATTATAATTTAATTTTATTATTCTTTGTCTATAGTCAATGATTATGCCTTCAAGTTGTCTTATACAACCATTTGTCAAACACAATAATTGTTCTTGTACATTTCCACTTATGCAAGCGAATATATCACCAAAGAGTCTTTATAAAAAATTAATAAAAAAAAATTATACGTTTTGAGGTATTTAGCTCACAAGTACTACAAATACGCCATCTGTTTCAAATTTTTAGAGACCGAAATGGTATACACACGAGCGTATAGATGGCGTTATAAATATTGAAGTCTTGAAGTTTCATGAAAGCAACAGATGTCGCTATATTAATTGCAAGCAAAAGCCCTTGCCTTACGAGCACGAGCACGTCTTATTAAAAGAGAAGAGATTACACTAATAATGCATTGCAAATAATGGTCATCAAACACCTAGGAAAATTGTTTTCTTTACTTACGTCCTCAATTAATAATAAAAAATAAATTGAAAAAGTATAAAATATAGAGATTCACAAAAAAGATCTCGAGAAGGAAAGATTTATTACAAACTAGTTACTTTTTAACGTTTTGCTCAGAGATGAGATATTTTCCCACAGTAAAAAGTATCCTATATGTTGACCCGGAAAACCAGCTATCATCATACCACATCAAAATCTGTCCAGTGGGTTCTTCGTGATGCGGTCACCGACAGACAGACAGACAGACAGACATACAGACAGACAAAAATTCTAAAAACTACTATAGATTCGGTTGCTGTTTTGATAATAATGTCTATTTCAATAATATTTTCCAAAAAAATATTTAGGTATTGTACAGATCCGGCTTATCTTCTATATAAATAAAAGTCAAATGTTTGTTAGCGAACTATTTCAGAACGGCTGCACCTATTTGGCTAATTCTTTTTTGTTGTGTTTGTAACTGTCGGGACAAGGTTTAGGTGAAAGAAATATTTAAAAAATTGTACGGAAAAGTGAAAACAATTTGGTAAAAAACAGTGAGTTGACAGATCAACGTTCAGTTTCTCAGTTTAATCATCATGGCAACAATATTAAAAAAGAAATTGACAGTTTTGTCTAAATGTCAGATAATTATATTTATCTATACTAATATTATAAAGGTAAAGTTTGTGAGTTTGTGGAGTTTGTGTGGTAGTAGGGGGTAATCTCTGGATCTACTAAACCGATTTAAATGAACTTTGGTAAGAAGATAGTTAGAGACCCTGGGAAGGACATAGGATTCTTTTTATCCGGAAATCATCTTAAGGGGGTGAAAATGAAGATGAAAGTTTGTCTTGGGAAGCAAGCCAGGGACGAACCCGAGCGAAGCGAGGGTGAGTCGCTAGTTTTAAATAAAAATTATTTAAAACTAGCGTACTAGGTACGATTTTGTTCACAATTTTATGGGTTTTAATTTATTTTGTGTGGAACCCTGATTCTTTTTTTAAAGTAAAAGTAGCCTAAGTTACTCCACACAATATCAGCTATCTGCCAGTGAAAATTTTGTCAAAATAGGTCCATCCGTTTTTTAGACATTAGCCGGAACAGAAAAACATACGGACAGACCAAAATTAAAAAAAAAACTTTATTTTTATTATCTGCCGTATATAATTTCATATGTATTTAGTAAAAAACTGTGATTATGAAGTCACAAACAGACCCTTTTATTTAACTGTATAGATATTAGATATAAAATATTTGCGTAAATCTAAAAAAGTATGACTGCCGTGATTTCAATTAAATAGATATTTTTTTAATTCAATTAACTGATATTTGTTTTATTAAAAAAACGAAAACAAAAATGTAAAGTAAACAAAAATCTGTTCGTACATGTCCGCACACGCGGCGCGTGTAAGGGACGTGAAGCGCGACAAACATGCCGCCCGAACATCGTGGAAAACAATGATCGGCTAGGCCGACTAGTCTGCAAAACTCAGTCGGCCCATTTCTAATATATAACCATAACGAAAATTAAAAATATAACTTAATTATTTGTTTAAGTATTATTATTGTTTTATAAGTAACTAGCGACTCACCCTCGCTCCGCTCGAGTTCGTCCATAGTTACGTTTTACCGTTTAGTATAGATTTCTCAAAGATGAGATATTTTTCTGCAGTAAAAAGTATCCTATATGTTGACCCGGATAACCAGCTTAGATCATACCAAATTTCATCAAAATCTGTCCAGTGTTTTTCTCGTGATGGGCTAAAAGACAGACAGACAGACAAAAATTTTAATAACTATAGATTCGGCCTCTGTATCGATTATAATGACTATTTCAATAAGATTTTCCAAAAAAATATTTTATGTACAGATTCGACTCAGAATTTTATTATATGTATAGATTTAAAAAAGTCAAAGTATTAATTTTGATTGCTATTATTTAAAGTTAAAATGTTAAGCAAAACTATTGCTCCCTTTATATACCTTTATACCAAACCAAAAGTTGTCTGTCAGAGACTGTTCATAACAATAAGGTCGCCTTTGCATGCCATTATAGAGCAAGAGTTCACGACGGCCAGACCTTCATTATTTTATAAAAGCTGAAAGTTTTTCTGTGCATGTCCCCTATATACCTAGGTAAGAACGGCCAGCGACTATAGAGTTTGGGTTGTGGTTACTTGGGCAGGTAACAGGTAGTAAAGGTGTATAAAATAGTACCTTAAATTCGTCAAAGAATAAAGCTAATTTTTTTTTTTTATTTTCTTTGGGATAACTTTAGAAATCTCGTCATCCATTGCCGGACGGACACTTATGACGTTACAGCGTGATAAAGTAGCAATCGCATTCACACATTTCACATTTACAATATTAGTTTTACAATACAACATATTCTACATTTTTTACAGTATGATAGATATTAAAATAACCTGTAATATTTGGACGGACATGAGGACTTGCCCGGTGTACTCTACTCCTCTATATAAGCTATACCATTGTAGTGAGGGCGCGTGGTCGTAATCTTCATTTTCACTCACCGTTGGAGTTATCTGACTGCGACCGATTAGTTCAATATTATGCTAGAAAGAATATATCAATATATGGAATTACTCGTTTAGCCTATTATTATTAGACTTTTTAGGAGGTTTTTGACTCGAATTTAGTTCGTCGTCGACGACCTTTACTTCAAGCAATTTATCGTTAGATAGCAAACTCGATCATTTTATAAAAGTGTTTTTAAAATATCTCCCTAGAGTAAGTTCTTTACTGGCATTTTTTTTTTTAATTTTACCCTTAAAAATTTCTGTGGCAAACTTAAAGCGGTTAGTTCAAATTTTAATATAACTTGATATTCATTGTTAACAAAACATAGGTATACTGATCTATAAAAGTAATGATACCTATAAAATACTCATTCACTTTTTTATCTAAACCTAGAGAAATAACATATAATAAATAACCTATTATATGTTATATATGATTACTGTATTGCTAAAATATATGTATATACCTATATCAAAGTTTAAGCTTTAAAAAATGTAAAACTCTGCATCTTACAGTATTTTAAGCGTCTATTGTAAACAAGTAAAACTATAAAGCTTGCTCGTCGAAAAGTTGGATATTGCTTGACCTCTAACACTGACCGATAATTCCGTACTGTAAACTTCCACCAAAACAATAGGCGGGCTGTTAGCGAGTCGCCCCGGGCTCATGTAAACCATTCTTTGGATTTTCAAAACTTCATTCCATATTGGCGTCAGCGTTTCACATTTCACCTATAAAATATAAATTTAGCATCAATTGTTATATGACTAGCATCTATTTGCGGTTTCGGTTACAGTTTTTCTGTATGTTTAGATCTTTTAGACTGATTTAAATATAATTAAAGTATGCAAAAATTATATTATTATAATTTATCATCCTAACTGTTACGAACTACGAAAATGATAAAATTCTGTATTTTGTATTCTTTTTAACTCATAATTTAGCGGGACGAAAAACATGATCCATCAATAATATAGGTACCAATTATCACATCACTACTACTCTATAAGCTAACTACTACATGAAAGAAGCAGAAAAAAATATCAATATATACATAGTCTAGCCATAAATACTGTTATAATTAAAAATAAACAAAATATTACATTGGAATTTGGAATCCGTCATTTTTATATGATTGTTTATTGTGTTTTCACTTTTTCGCGCGAATAAATTGTAAAATATTTTGTGAAATTAAAATGGAGCGGTGTGATAAAGAGAACCGAATCGCTGTGATTGCATTACACAAAGTAGGTATGGAGCCAAATACAATTTTTTAAATCTCTTCATATGCTTGGTATTAGTCAAATGTTTGTGTAGCGGGCTATTGATAGGTACAATGAAACCTCCTCTGTTTGTGGCAGAAAAAGATCTGGCCTTCCACGTAGTGTTCGTACGAAAAAGGCGATGAAAGCAGAAAGGGAAAGAATTCAAAGAAATCCTGTCCGAAGCAAAAGATTTTATCTCGGGAGATGATTTTAGCACCATGAACCAGGGACCAGGAACCATCTCGCGTATTTTAAAAAATGACTTAGGACTTGCAGCCTATAAGAGACGCACTGGTCATTTCTTAACTGATAATTTAAAAAAGAATAGGGTGGTAAAATCAAAACAACAATTAAAAAAAAATGTTTACGGATGAGAAAATTTTTACAACTAAGCAATATTTTAGCAAACAAAATTACCGTATTTATGCTCTAAGCTTTAAGGAAGCTTCCCAATTAGTCAACAGAGTACAACGTGGGCATTATCCGACTTCAGTGATGGTTTGGTGGGGTGTTAGCTATGAAGGAGTGACTGAGCCATATTTTAATGAAAAAGGTATCAAAACATCGGCACACATGTATCAAGATACCATTCTTGAAAAGGTTGTCAAGCCCCTTAACAACACCGTGTTCAATAACCAAGAATGGTCCTTTTAGCAAGACTCGGCGCCGGGTCGTAAAGCTCGATCCACGCAATCTTGGTTAGGAACCCACGTTCCGGACTTCATCAGAGCTGCAGTCTGGCCGTCATCTCATTTCGATATTAATTCGCTGGATTATGATTTATAGTTAGTTTTAGAGAGTATGTTTGGCTCTTAATGCCATGATAATTTGCAGTCCCTTAAACAATCCTACGATTGTCAGTGAAGAATTTTCCCATGGAAAGAGTGCGTGCTTCTATTGATAACTGATCTCAACGTTTAAAGGACTGTATTGCAGCCAATGGAGACCACTTCGAATAAGCTTTATATATTTTTAATGGCTTTATATTAATGTATTAAACTAACACACTGTAATAGTAATAAATGTTACGTGCAATAGAAAAAAAAGTTTCTTTCTATGTAACAATAGTTATGGCAAGACTATGTATATGTATGACTATGTATATGTATGTATTTAAATTCGCATCAATGTATATAATTAATAATACCTACATACTCGTATAGTATGTATATAATTAACTAGTGACTCACTCTTGCTTTGCTCAGTTTCGTCCCTAGAGTAGGTACGTTTTGACGCTTAGTATGGAATAGATTTTTTTCAATTTTTTTCTTGATTTCTTCCAAAGTTTTAATAGTTACTCTGCTAATTGGGGTGAAGACAAATCCAACAAAACAACGATCATAAAAATTGGTCCAGCAGTTCTCGAGTTATGAGTGTTGTATCAGGCCCAACGTAGTTTTACATACATTTCATATAGGTATAGATAGATATATACATATATTATTTTAAATATCAATAAAAATATATTAAAAAAAGTTAATATAAAAAATATACTATAGTAGATTTTGTGTCTATTAAGCATATATCAGACATTATTTAAAAACATTTTTTTACAAAAATATATAATTATATCTTTCAATCAATGTTTATACGTAGGTATATTTTTACCTATTTTTAGTAGCACGCACAAACGTCCTTTACGCTATATCAGTTTACACATACATCTGAATTCGGTTACATTTTTGTCTCGTTAATATAATTATTGTGATCATTAGTAGTCTGAATGGAGTTTTACGAAATTGATATAAAATCTGTACGTATTGAAAGGCTTTTTTCAATTAAATTTTTCCTTGTAATCGTTAACATTCGCACGTTTTCATTAGTTTTCAAACGTAGGTATTACGTGACACAAAGAAATATACGAGCCTTTACGACTCAATTACGTCATAATATTGATAATAAAATGCAAGTTCTGAGTAGCAATCGCTATTTTACAAATGGAGAACATTCTACTTGTACATTAAAGTTCTTTAAACAAACTCACAGTATACTTTATAAGAAATAATACGTTTTAATGACAATAATCTACTTATTGATACCTTCGTTTCCTTAGCAGTATTTAATGCGTTCACTCTAATAAACGTCTGAAGAGAGGTAAGTTCGTTTAAAATATTCTTCAATTTTGCTTTGTAAATGAAAGCTCTGCATTCGACAATCTGCAAGGAGCTTTCTATAAGTGTTAATTATATTATTAATATAAGAAATAAAATAGCTGTGTAAACAGCAATCTATTTCTTGTGTACATAATCATTTTGTAATTATTATTTAAAACACTTAATTTTTGTCAACTGCACTATGTATATAAGTATTGTATATGCATATCGTATTGTAGATTTAGTAGTTGCGATAGTTTATATTGTTTAAATATTTGCCCACGATTTAGTTAATAAAACATAACAATGAGCATATGAAACTAAAACGAATAAAAAAAACCTTATAAAGCAATTAGGTATGTAGTCCTAGATATTTGGAACCAAACAAAACTCCTACAAGCGAAAAGAAATGAAATATGAACTTAAAAGTGTCTTCAGACCAAATAATATACTAATGCATACAAGTTGACCTGATGAAACTTTGAACTATTATTAATTATCGTAGTTTATAATAACTCGTACCGACTAAAAGTTATTTTTCAAACATTGTTTAAGCACAATGTGCTAATTTACAGCTGGTCTAGCTGCAAAATTAGAAACAATTTGTATTTTACAGAGTAAATTTTTATAAACTTCAAACTATATATGATGGTAAATATTTTGAGTACGTAATAAATATTAAATATTCGGATACAGCATCCTCTCTACTTATAGAGGCAAGGTAAATGAAATAAACAAACACATATAAATATTTTTAAATTTCATTAATCCCTCTACGACCGCGGACATGCCGGCGTGTCAGTTAATAATAGATTTCTTAGAATTTTAATTAATTTCTAAGTTTACCTGGAGGTATTAAAATATATTTAAAGTCTAGTTTATTGTATGTTCAAAAGTTATTAAAATATATTTTTTGAAACTATTGCTTTAACTTCTTTTACGATAATCAACAGGTAACTGCCGACATAATAATGATTGATGATAACCATGATATTATAGATAAATTATTTACCATAGCCGTGCATTTGATATGCATATCATTTTCCTTTATTTTCAGTTTGTATCCTGGTAAAATCTCGTTAATTTTATAGTGAAATACAGATTGTTGTCGGTACAAGCCCATCCATAAGAGAAGTTCCACTTTACCAGCATAACAATAACAGGAAGCCAAGTTAGCATGCTTAGAACATTTAAGTGGCTAAAAATACCAACCATAGTTACAACTAATGTAGTTTTGCCATTAGTAGTTGCCAAATTAAAAAGGTAAGATTAGTTTTAATTATTTCATACAGTCTTGATCAGGATTGATCATAAATAAAGTCAAATAACAGATAATTGGAATACTTTTACTAGATTATAATAACACGAACACAAATTATATAAGCGACAAAATATAGAGATTAATAAAATGTAGTATATTAAAACTGTTCTAAAGAGAGAATTTTCTATTATATGTATAAGTAGTTGTAGATATGTACAAGCATTCGGGTAGCTTTAGTTAGCTCAAGCTTAGTACCTTCATGTAAATTGATTGGACCCGTCCACAATCTTTACCGTTTTGATCAGGAATAGCAGAATGGATAACATTAGACGTGTTTATTGTTCCATATGCCACTCTTGATCCTTGATTGAGAAGCCAAACTGTAATATTTGGCCAGTCCGCTACGTTCTATACATAGAAATAATAATATATTATTGTTGCGATGTCCAGTATGTTATTGCAATATCTATGGGCTGATGGTATGGGATATAGAGTTTCATTTATATATACTACCTACTTAATTGTTACTTTAAATGGAACATTATATCTTTTAGATATACTTATGCATATACATCAGATACATATAAAATACTAGCGATTTACCCTCGCTTCACACGGGTTCGTCCCTAGGTTGATTCCCCATACAATCTTTCATCCCCATCTTCACCCCCTTGAGGGATGATTTTCGGGATAAAAAGTACTTTATGTCCTTCCCAGGATCTCACACTATTTTTATACCAAATTTCATCTAAATCTCAGTAGATCCAGAGATTACCCCCTACAACGTAACAAACTCACAAACTCACAATTCACAAACGTTACCTCTTTATAATATTAGTATAGATTAGTAAATCATATTAAGGGTGGTTTTTATCTACGTCTGTTTTAATTTATGCCATATATTATAAATTAAAACCACGATCAAGATATCTAATAGATTGTAATCGTTAAAATTATGTAGCATTACTTTTTTTACTTTTCTATCTAAAATTATTATGAAAATACTTAAAGTAAACAAACAAAAAAATAAATTTAAATAAATATACCTATTAACTATTGTAGCAATTCTTTAATATATAATAATATGAATACTCATTATAAAAATATATTACAGTTTTACTGAGGTCTATTAGAAAATAAATATTAGAAAATAATTATGCGAGAATCTTATACTCGTAATGAAAGAAAATTTCTTCGAATTGATAAGAATGAGTCGAAGGTAAAAAATACGATTCGCAATATAATACCTTGTAAATAAGGCCTTTGAGATCTTGAATCAAATTTTGCGTGTCAGCCAACAATAATTTGACTAATTTTCTAGAATTTAAACATGCCTTCTTTGTTGTTTTTCTGTTACATATTTTCTGATATATTTTACTCTAAACAAAATTTATTCAGAAATAGATATCTGCCAATTATTTTTGATTAAATAAAATTATTTTGTATAAAATACGTAATCTTAACTTAATAATAATTGAATAAACAGAAATAAATGCGTAAATACATTTTATGTTATTTATTACGATACTAGTTATTAATTAGTAAAACGCAGTATGTTAACAGTTTTAGGTGTTAAAACGATTGTTTTATTTTAGACCTTAATAACGATTGTTTTATTTTAACCTTAATAATTTAGTTCTAAAGCTTCATTATCACATTAGAAATGTAAATTTAATTGTAAACGGGAAAACTCAACTAAGAATAAAAGATAAGAAGAGATATTGAATAGAACTCGACATTAGATAAAAATTTAACATCTTACGACCATCTTATGTACTCGTAGTATCAAGAATACAATTTGATTAAACAGATTATTCGACTTCTATTTTCGCATGGACAAAAAACGTATTCGTTGATTTATTTTCCTTATGATTTTTATTCCATTTAAGACAATGACAAAAGGTGTGAGAAACGCCTCTAATCCGTAATTATGAATCACGTGGATTTTTCTATCTATTATAATTGCAATATATAACGGGAAACAATTACTTCTTTCAAGAATAATGTGTCGTAGCAATATTTATATAAACGGTAGATCATCACTCCGAAGATGATTATTAACTTTTCTGTAATTCTTAGTTTTTATGAGAAATTACAAAAACAAGACAAGTGATAATTCAAGAATTTCGTTTCAATTACGAAAAATATGGTTTGTTTATATTCATTAAAGCATAAAAAAAAAAAATTATAGAAAGAGCAAACTCAAGAACTTTTAATTAACATGAATCGATGTTATTGTTTTAAACTAATATATATTTTTTTATTTATGTTGAAAGCAAATTTTTCATTATATTCTTCAATTCTTAATTAAAAGCATAACTTTCCTTTATTTATAGACAGCCAAATTCCGTTTACCCCGATGAGCGCTTACAAACAAAATTATTTGTTAGAACTTTTGTGTAGTATAAATAAGGTTGCCTAACCTGTACGTCTGTCAGTGACAGATTTATTTTATATCTAGTTTTTAATAATTGAATGGGTTTCTTACAATCTCGTCTTTCTGTAGCGAAAGTTGCTTTTGATCCAATTCTGTAAAGCATTGACGATCACCTTCATCTGCAATTGGTCCGGAATGTTGTATAATTTCAAGAAATTTTACGATTTTTTCAAATGCGCAGTCTAAAGCTGTATTAAGTTGATCCATGAGTTGATCAAAACAATTATGATCAATATATTTTAACTTTTTCTCAACAGATAAAGCAACTAGTTCCTGTAAATTTAAGATATTGTTAATGATGCAAAATTGTTTATAGTAATAACCTATAGAAGAAAAACAAAATACTATTGGTATATAATAAAGTATCTGGTAATATTGAATATTTTTCTACAATTCATAAGTATAAGAAAATACATTCATATAAAATTAAGAAGATATAAATAAATATGATCTAGAAAATTACCAAATTATGAACAATAGAATATATCATATTATTTCTGTAAAACTTAAATCGCAAATCTATCAATTTTATAGGAAATTGAAGAATAGGGTAAGTATTACTAAAAGCAAGATATCCAAATTCAGATTCATTTTTTGATACTTCCATGTTGCCAGTGTAATGTAATTTTTGAAATCCTATAAAAAAGACGCAAAGTTTACTTTACCCATTTAAAATATTCATAGCAGAAACTAAATGTTATTTATAATTTATTATTAAAGTCTTACTTGCTTTCTTTATTATATTTGAAAATTCTGAAAAACAAAGCGGTATTTTTATTAATGTTTGCCTATAATTTTCACACATTTAAAACAATATATCACAGCACACAAGTTGGAGTTCGTTGGTTCAATTCTAGCCAAAGTAAAAATGTTCTATTGACCAAATGTTAATCTAGAAATCAGTGTATTAATTAAGCATTGCCAGCTAGTTAAAGCTATCTTGCGAAAATAATTACAAATAATTTAGGATCACTCTTATTTTAGAATTTATAGATGTTCAAGGGTATTTGAGTATTGTGATTCTTTTATTATATACACACAAATCTTATAATACAATACTTTTTACATTCGTTTTATTTGTGCTGTTATGTTTTGTTTTAGTTTTTGACCTAGAAGCAGAATGAATGAAGGCAGAAGGCAAGAACATCTCCATGAAAGATGTTTTAGTGCAAATTAAAAGCAGAAGATAGCGGCACTATAATGGTTAAAGTAGTATAATTATTAAAATAATAACCATTTCCTGAATCATTCTCAATCCAAATGTCGCCAATAGTAATTGCTATTCCACAGTAATTTCCTACAATATCATGATTAAGCAACGATACCTCCAAGATTGGACAAAATATACAAAATTCTTCTAGCTGCCACAGATTTTCCTTAAATATAAGGTTGGGGTACAATAGGTATAGGTTCTTAAAGACAGTTATTCTAAATTTATGTAAAATCGCATATAACAGAAAACAACAGCTTTTGATAACTTTGAAAATTCGTTATTTAATTACGCAATAAAACAAGTAATTTGATTAATTCGTTGAATTAGTGTCTTGATTTACTACAGACCATTAAATATATGAAATATTAAAATAAATTTACTGGATTTATATACGCCACAGGATCAATGGATATCCTTTCTATGCGTTGCTCATAGTAAGGCACTATAGTTTTAAGGGTAACAAGAAGAGATCCACAATAATATGGGCCATCGTCACAATCTTGTGACTGGCTTGTTCTTGATTTTAACATTCCGTACATATGAAGTAAAGATGGGCCAAAAGTTGGCAAAAATCCTTAAATAATAATTAATAAATGTTATATTTTAAATAAAAGTATCTTTTCGGATTATTTCGCGGATTTATTTTGATCTTGAGACTGTCTCGTGACCATGATTGCTGTAAAGCATTCGAAACGTCAGGAACCAAACATACTACATTTGTAGTTCGCATTTTTCCACCACCATTTTTCCACCATTACTTAAGAAGAATATGTTTATATATGATATGACGTGCCTTTGTAGTTGGCTTCAAAATCGCTTTAAAAATTTTTTTTATTTATATAGTACCATTATTAATTATTAGTATTAGTACAAGGTGATTAAAAAAACACGCAATTAATCACTCACAATTGGTGAAATATAAAAAATTAGTGTAAAAATAACATACCATTTTCTCCTTGATGAGATATATGTGTTAAATTCAGTTGAGCACTAGTCAAAACTCGGTTAAAACATCCATCGTTAAAACAAATTTCAAATTTAATAGTTTGGCAAATATTTGGAAACATTTCCGTTATTGATATTTTTTCACAGTATTGAGGATTATTTGTCCGATATTTAATTGTTGTTTTCGCCTGTAAGTATTTTACTTTATAATAATAATCTATTTAAATCTTATATAAACTAAAGATAAAAAATATATGGAATATAATATTTTTTTGTTAGTATAATACCTTTAAAGACCAATTCTAGTACATTTATTTATTTATTTATACCGGTGATCTCGGAAACGGCTCTAACGATTTTGGTGAAATTTTTTATTTTCGGGGGCGAAAAATCGATCTAGATTAGTCTTATCACAGGTGTTCGGGTTCGAATCCCGATCGGATATAAAGTTTGTACTTTTGTTTTTTTTTTTGTATGTATTTATTCAAGTTCTTAGTTTAAAAAAAATCAACTTGTACTTCTGACCAAATACTCCGAGCGAAGCTGAGTCACCTAGGTACTTACCATAATATCACAAAAATAGACCGTTACAAATGTACTGGGCAGCTTTCTTAAGCGTTTTTCATTGTAACCGCAATTCGGAAGACCAAATGCTCCGTAAACAGTAATGACGTATTTAGCGCATTGCTGTTCACAACTCAGTGGCAGTAGAAGATTACTGATCGAAAAAGTTAAAATAATTTTAAAAAATGTATAGAAGTTCAAGTTACGTTAATAATTTACGTTAATATTTTTTTTAGATTGGGAGCTCTTCAAATATGTTAATAAGAGATTTATAATGAAGATTCGATTATGACTCCATTAAAACCTGATAAACTAAGCGAGCGAGCTATACAAAAGTCACTCGTCAAATAATGTTCATTTATTAAACATGATTGAAACACTAGGGAGAAACTAAGAGTAATCGTACCTACCTATTTAAAAGATATTGAGTAACAAAATTTATGTCATATGTACATAATTGCTCCGATCTTTATAAAATCTTGCTGAGATTGGTATGGTGGTGATTGGTGATATTAGATATCCAATTATTAGAGAGACCATCAGAAGATGGTATTTAAAATACAACGCTATGTTATAGCATTTAGTCAAATTATAATTGACTAGCAGTACCCGCGGCTTCGCCCGCGTCCAAACTTCCAATCGCTAACAAAATTCACAGGATCACCCGCTGGGCTTGTCTGAAGATTATTTGATAATTTCATCTAAATCGCTCCAGCTGTTGTGTGTAGGAAACATACATACATACATTGATTTTTATTTTATTTAATCAACAATTTAAATTTATTTATTGCCCGAAAAATTGAGTCTTTTATGAAAATTTAGTGAAAAACCAACTCAAACATACACAAAAAATATCATTAAAATCGTCCCGTAGAAAAAAAAATCTCACGAGTAAGATATACCTACAGGATGGGACATGGAAAAAAATGCCTTAAATATTGAAGATATTAAATTTCACTAAAGGAAAACATTTAGTTATTTAAAAAAATATTAATAACTTCATTTAAATATTTAAAAAAAAGCCTTACCAGAGCAAATAATCGAACCAGATAAAAATGCAAAAAAATACAATTTCACTATTTTATCGAACTAACCGAGTTATGATAAGAATAGTCCCTCTCGAAGAATCTTTGTGACTTACAATTACAGAAAACCAAGAAATCTTACAATATTTTGTACCTACGTATCAATTCTAACTAACATCGTAAAACCTACACGTAAACAGAATTTTTTATACACCAATCAATACCAAATTGTGTCACATGCTTCTATTCGCCCTCAGATTTAATATAACAATGGAAAGAAGTAACAAGTCTAATTACACTTGTTTTTATAAGTTTATACTTCAGTTGTATTTTTATGTTATAATGGAGTTTAATATAACTAAAATTGCTTAATGAAAAATGTGTTTGAGATTCAGAGTTCAAGTAAGTAAAAATCTAAAAGTTTTAGCATATATATAACTTTAGAACAATTATTATATAAGTTTTTCTCGTAGCAATTGAGAAATATACTGTCATATTGTATTATTATTTCTTAGGAAAATATAAATTCTCCTTTTTTGACTATTTTATAAAGTTAATAGATAGAGAATGTTAATATCATAGAAATCCGCACGAATATTTTCATATGTTGTTGAATGCTTTAAACAAACTTACTTAGCCAACACAACACACCGTGGACTTTACTTTTCGGCTAATAAAGGTTTTATTTTTTTGTACAAATACTTTTAATACGTAAGGGAAAATAAATGAATAACACTTTTTCGTATACCTTTGTGACCTGTGATCATTCATTATAGACGATCCCGTTGTCACCTCTCCTCTGCGTATTATTGAAAGGTCCACTTTAAGAAAACCAACAGGTCCTGATGTTAAAGTTCGTGGTGAACTCAGTTGAGCCCATTTGTTACGAATTTGATGATCTGTAATGAAAGCACTTGTACAAAGTGTTTTAGTATAACTTAGTAAGTTTTTCAGTTAAGCTAAGTGGAGTCTGGCTGATGCCAGTTTGAGTGCGCGCTGCTGTGCGGGTCTCCCTTATGTAACAAGTGTACAATGTACCTACATATGTTATGAAATCGTTCACGTTTCTAATAATTTTATTTTGTAATAAAGCACTTTGCCTCAATAAATCAGTCAATGTGTTTAATAATGTGGCTGTACACACACATACAACGCCAGACTCATGGAAGAAATTGTATTAAATATTAAAAACAGCATAATACATATAAATATTGCATTTTAAACTTCTTCCTATACTGCCGTTAAATGAGTATCGTATCACATGACCGACTACAAATATCTTGCGGGCTGAAATACAGCCCCATCTGTTACAGACATCTATTGGTGACGGTGATCAGTCGCGCTCGGGTAACTCCGCCGCAATTTATTACAACATATGATAGAGTTGCAAGTTGATATTCGCTTGTTAGAGTCTCTGCTACAGAATAGTGTATATGATCATTCAAGCAAGACACGCGCTAGCGTGTCCGGCCAAGTTCAAGCGAAAGGAACTGGCGACGCTGCACTGTGTCTATATTTACGAACCATTTGGAGCAACTTTTCACCTCGTTATAACTCAAAATACATTTAAAATAAACTCAAGAAATTTCGTTCATTTATTAAATCCCCTTAGATCAACTATAATCCCCAATTTAACAAATGTAGCTCAAACGGTTATTGAGATATTAACGTCTAAAAATCTGTATTTATATCACTAACTGACTGGCATATAGTAGTAAAACCTAACCCACTTCCAGATGACCTATAAAGTTGAAATTTGGTGTACATACAAGCTATCTTATATTGGGCTAATCACTTATATCTTCTTTATACTATACGTAAGTTACTGTTTTTATATTGTAAGATTAACATGTCTCACTCTTCTAAAAACTTGCTTTACTAGTAAAAATGGCCAAGTCAAAACTTCAATTTATCCTAAGTTATCTACTATGTGTAAATAATTCGACTGTTCAAATTTAATATGTTCTATTTTTAAATAGCAAACACTTCTGCAGCAGAAAAAAAAACAAGAAATTGTGTTTTAAATTTATTTTAGAATGTTGTATGTCCTTATGAAAAATTTCAGGATTATCTACAGAACTTGGCACCCATTTAGATCTCAATTCTTTTGTTGGTGAAGTTGACAACCAAGCATATTCTTAATATTGAACTTGACTCCCATTTTCACATTTATGTTTTTGATGGGATTACATATACGCCATGTAGTCGTAACGACGTTGGCTAATTTACAAAGTGAGGATAGATTGCCATACTCTTTGAAATAGAATGAGCTATGTCCTTAAACTGTCCTTCAGTTACCGCAAGGTTAGCGACGGTTCATCTTGTCAGTTTTCACTTTAGTGAAACCGACCATATATCTGTTTCAATTCAACATGCTTTCATTCCAATTAGGAATCTAAGCCGTAATCTTTATTACATAATAAAGTATTACAGGGAAATAGTTACTTAGGCATTATTTTGTATCATATATTTTACACAAAATAATAGTATACGATTTTTAAGAAATAAAAGTATTACCCGATTGCAACCAAACTGCTCCCAGATCAATATTAACTTCACCGAGTATACGAGGAGGGGCACAGCATTTCGGCTCCATTACTGCCATCCATATACTTAATTTCCGAATATCTCGAATACTTGTAAATATTTCGAAAATAAAGCTCTGCGATAATAATAATGTTAAGTGTAATCCATACATCTAATACTAAATCTATGAAGCAAAAATGTGTCCTTTATGTTCAATTAATGAGTATAGTATATAAAATAGACATTAAAATATAAATATCCAATTCCCAAAGGAGGTGAGCTTTTAAGTTTCTGTACTACTCGAAAACTTACCATTAAAATCACAAATTAATATAAAATTCATGATAGGTAAACAATAAGTACTTTTTATTTATTTTCCATTTTATGCTCTTTATTTATATCAGAAGTTATAAAATCGACGTCAGAAAATAAATTGAGCTTACTTCCTTATAATGAGGCTCTAGCATGTTTCTCCGAATACTTGTACTGTATTTCTTTTTCCCAAGAACTAAGACTACATAGGAATTCGCCGACTGAGTGTCAGACCATGCGAGATTTCTACCTTCCAATATATTTATTGAGATCTGTTAAATATATTTGTGTAAGCATGGAATATTATAATAATTTACAAATTATATACATCTAATAAAATTGCAACATCGTGTATGATCACATTACATATTGCCAAAAAAATACATGTCCCCACATTTGATGTATCTATCAATAAAAGGCAATTATAGTTTTTAGGAAAAAAAAACCTGTTTTACCCTGTTGGTAAACCTACGGATTATTCAAGAACGACTGAATTGATTTATGTATCAACAAAGCAAATTATTACCTAAACAAATTAGCTAAGTAATAAGTTAAGCTGTACGAAAGCTGCGAGTACAAAAAATGACATAAAGGCGGCACCGCTGGCAGAAGTTAATCTATACCTACATACTCGTACTAATGTAAATTAACTGCCTCAATGGTGTACTGGCTAGCAAGTACGGCTGCACACCCGGAGGTCCTGGGTTCGAGTCCCGGGTCGGGCCAAGTTTAGTTATTGAGTCTTTCTGTATATTAAGCCTCAGTAACAGCCCGGAGTTGGGAAGTTGGCGGTGTTTCACCCCCGTGCCTCGGAGAGCACGTAAAGCCGTCGGTCCTGCACCTTAACTCTCACTAGTCGTGTCGAGTGGTCGTCCCACCAGAGTATGAGAGTGACAGGAATAGAGAGTGCACTTGTGTCTGCGCGTACACTTGTGCACTATAATATCTCCTGCGCAGTAGGCTAGTCTCAATGAGATTGGCCGCCGTGGCCGGAATCGGTCAGGAGAACATCATCATCATAAATGTGAAAGTTTAGATCTTTGGATGGATGTTTATTATTCAATCACGTCAGAACGGCTGAACGGATCTGGATGAAATTTGGCACAAATATACGTTATAGTCTGCACACAATAGCACATAGACTTCTTTTTATCCTGGAAAAATGTACGGTTCCCGTAAGATAGATTTGTTTTGGTTTTTCTAGTTTATAATATATGGAGAGACAATTGGGCATGCTCTCGCACCTTACAAAGAAGAATTCACGTAGCTAATTTACTTATACTCATTTGTCACTATAATATAAAAAGGCAAAAATATTACAGACTATAAAAATCACAATAACGAATTTGCTATATCTTGTTGCTTGAACGCGCGTAGCGTTGGCTGAATGACTGTTGACGTGTATAATATTAAAACAATGATCTGAAAGTGGAACCAATCTCATAGTTTTATAAGTATTAGTACTACCTTATCGCGCAAATTTCATTGTTGGTAAACTAGATGGTAAAGAATGGATTGTTAAAACTCAAAAAAAAAATGTATCAAAGATTGTAATTTTTTGTAACAGTATATTCTTACATTGATTATTTTATTGTACCCACTACTCATATAGAATGTTTTGCAGTATGTTGCATGTACAAAAATATTTTAATGAGAACAGAACTTCGTAAGACAGTTATTTCACTACAAATACAAATATTTAAATAAACACGTTTTATATCATTTTCGATGAAGAATATCCATTAAGCTGTCTCCCAAACTGAAAAATGTCACATATGAAAAACATTCAATTAAATTCGCATGCACTATAATTTACATTGTCTCACTGATCGCACAACGACGACGGGTATCCATTGTATTTCACGTAAAAAGACAAAGGCGCGCACCTACCAATAAGGGTCTTAATAAATAATTTATAAGAATCGCGGTATACATAACCTGAAAACATTGAGGCGTCGCTTCCGGATTGTACTCGTTTTCGATTCTGTATGTCGGCGGTGGGATGACTTTTTGCCTTCCACGCTTCTCTGGCGACTTCGAGCGCATGATTTTATATATTTTTTTAATGAAGCAATGCGTCCAAACGGTGTACACTTTGCGTTATAAATAAATCAGGAGGCAAGACGAGTTTCTTTTACAACGTCATCGAAGACAGGTTGATTGCGGTGAATGACAATGAGAATTTGACGGGTTTTGACGTTCTAGGTTTTGGGATGAAGAAGTTTTTTTATAATGAATGTACAGTTTGGAATCTCGGACGCTTCCTTTTATATTATTTGAGTAAATAAGTATAATGATAGCTATAGATGGGTCGTGTATTGGAGATTTAAATTATAATGCATAGTTAACTATAACTTAGTATTAAGTTGTATACATGTGAAAATGATAAAGGTTGTCACAAATCTAATGTAATCCCTAACATTATTACAACATTAAGTTGTTCAGTTAATACTTTTACTCGAAATTAATGAATTTGACATGATTATTTTGTGAATGTTCTCTACTTATGATTAAAAATAAGAAAATCTTTCAAAACAAATGTTCACTTTTAAAACATGGTCGTAAAATGTATTAATGAAATATGTATATGAATGAAAGAATGTGCGAAAAGATCATTTCGCAGTTGAATAAAGTACAGCGGCGACAGTATCCGAGCGTAGGACCGAGAAATTCTACTATTTTGTTTAAATTTTGTGACGTTAAATTAACAAATTCGGAGACGGGGATGACTTGATTTTAACCGTCTGTTTTGTAAAACTTTTTGTTTCATGTTGGATTCTCTCAAAATTAAATTGCAAACATTTAGACAATCACCATTTCGACATGTTCCTTATCAACCACAATTCTATCTATCACTATCGAATTTTTTCACAGAGAAATGTTAAACGTCTCATCAAAAAGAAGTTTCTCAAGAAGTTTCAGTATGATACTAATCAATAAGATAAAACGATAAAGGGCGGTGTACTGTAGACTATTATTTTATAAAAATAGAAACTCTATCAAACGCAGGCTGTAGCTACACTCTAAATTAATTACTCTTTCTACTTTGATACGTTATATATGACTACACTTTCAGTATACATAATATCTTAAGCTTTCCCACTATAATATACTTTCTTCGTCATTTATAGGAACTGATTATATTATAAATGAACCTCGCGTAAATCTAAATTATATATTATCATTTTTTTTAAATTAACTATTAGGTATTTGTTTTATTGAAATGAAGTCAAGTAAAAATATTATTAAATATTATTTTGATAAAGACGCGTTTAATTTTATCTATATTAAATATTCAAAGTCTGACAAATCAATTTTTAGTAAAGCTAGTGTTACCAGTCAATGTGATGTTTTAATCTCTTTTTAATGGCATGATTTCTTTTAAATGATAAAACATCATTAAAATACCTTTACAGGCATTTGACAGCGCAACTATCCGTATTGACACAATATTAGAAAATTTATTAACTCTAAATAGGGTCACACGCGACCACCGCCACCAAAATCGCGCGCTATGTCATCTTGTTAAAATATCTCCACTAGATTTATAACAGAATGTCAATATTTTAATGAACTCCCTTGCTACTGTTAAAAAATAGCTAATACTGTGTTGAGAACAGAGATCTTATATAGCTATTATAGAATGACAAATATTTAAAAAAAATCTTATGAGATTATAATGAAGTTAGCGGTAGTATTTGAAACTATAATAAAACACGAGTTAAAAGTCAACGATAAATGAAACTAAAAAAACACAGTTCATTTCAATATATTACCTTTAAAATATAAATATGTTTATACATATACAATAGCATATACTACGTACAGTTCTTAATTTCTACGAAAAAATATTACAAAATTAGAATAAGCTCACATATTAATTCATATTTTACTTTTGATTATGAAGTGATCAAGTATCATTATTTAATACACAAGAGAACACCTTATATACATACATAGAGCTTTACATTCTTATATCAGACTTTAAAGTCCTAAACTACATTATTATCCAATAAAATGAATATAGAACATAATTATAGTAATAATTTAAATAAATATTGGATAAACGTAAACACAGCTAAAGTTTTAAATCCCTATTTATATATTTATATTTATGAAAGCTTTCTTGAGAAAGTACCAACCTTGAAATAAAATGAAATGAATTTTACTTTGCAGTGTGTACCTAATATCATAATAAATAATATTAACAGAGTAAAACTCGCGATGGAATGTTTTTCTACGATAAATACACTATTCACGTGTCTCTTAGTGTGCGGTATTGATGACAACACAAACAACAAACTGCTTTCCGAGCCGGTGGTAGCTTCCTCAGTGGCTGACTACACTGACGCTCTAAATTGACGATTCAAAAGTGATTATAATAAGTCTATTATTTCATTTCGTTTCAACATAGTGTAAATAGCTGGTATCTAATAGTTTGAGGACCATGGTCGTGGTCGTCTAATCATTTAATGCTCGACCAGAGTTATTAAATACATTATTAAATACGGTTGATATTTGAGAATATCCATTTAGTTTCAAGTTTGAAACTGGAAAATTATAGTAATGTACTAAACACTTTTACACTACATTTTGTGTAAGTAAATGACTTTAGTACACTCTAAATCGCTTATATTTATATGACACATTCATTTGTATCCAGCTAAATAGAACTAGCCATTTAATTAGTCAGATTTTCAATTATAAAAATAAAAATAAGAGAATAAAAGATATCATTTAACCATTTATAATCAAAAACAATTACGGATTTTTAAACTTGAAAATTAACTGATTTCAAACTTTAAGGTCCCGTGGGTTTGCTTATACAAGCCGTTCGTAATTCGTAGTTCATATTGTTACTTATGGATATTTATATATTATACGTATTTTACCTTATTTTTTAAATGGGTCACAACTGCCGTTATGTCCCATCTAAATCGCCTACTTTTAAACTACGATGGACAATAAATATTAAAAATAATTTTTGATTTGGCTTCTTATATATCTCGAACATCTCTTAATTTTTTTTAAATTGTATTAAAAATACCGGTCAATATATTTAGAAGTTGTTTTTTATTACTCATGTGCATAGCAATAGACTTTAAGTTGCAAGTTAATTTAACTTATTCATAAAGAGATGTTGACCCAAATTATCCAAATGACATGAATATTGATAAAGTGATATTTTGATAGTTTCAGATCAGGATCTAATTGCCTCAGACTATTACGGCAGCTATAAGGTGGCTGGCTTATTGCGATTTGCCTCAGACTAAGACAGTAAAGTAAGTAATTGGAAGTAAACAGCCATTGTGAAGTCATTGTAAAATAATATATTTCTATGTTAAGGAATACGAAATTCAAGAAACACGCTCACGTTGATTCTGATTGAGATTGGCTTCATTTTTACTGTTCTATACCCTGTATCTATCTTACTCTTTTAGTCTTAGGTATTGCCCATGCTGGGGGTCAGATGTTCGAATCTCACGCGAAGTCAACGTTTTTAGTAAATTTAAATTCTTCCACCTGTATAGTTAATTAGAAGTGTAGATTATCATCTACTAATTAATATTTTCTCATTACTAGCGAAATACCTGAGAACCATGTGAGATTCTACAGGTATCTCTTTCTCGCAAAAATATTTTCGATTACTTTTGCCTTTCCTTTATCCTCATTGTATTTCTGTCAATCACATATTATAAATTCCTTTACATTAAAATGTATAGGTGTAATATTATGTCCGCTCATAAATAGCTTACTTTAATAAAAGGATGATATGTTCTCGATTTCAAATATAAAATTTCGTGTATTAAATATAATAGGTATATGTTTACCAGGTTTTAATTAAATTATTATCAAGTTGATATCCATATTATATAAAGCAAAAGAGATTGTTTTATTATGTTTGTTTGTTTAAATGCTAATTTCTGCAAGTACGAATCCTACAGAAAATGGTTTTTGCTTCTTGTAGCTTATCAATAAGAGGACAAACAATGACCACGCTACCATCGTTAGGAGCGGAGCAATTTAATATACACAAATGATGCCGCGGAGGAACGCTAGTTTGAGATATTCGATATATTATCAATTAATGTAGTATTCGTAAAATTTAAGTTACAATATTATTGTATTATATAATGACATTTATGAGAATAATGATCGACTTATATATATATATATATATATATATATATATATATATATATATATATATATATATATATATATATATATATGAAGTTAATGAGTGGATACGTGCACACGTACATATACTTCTATATTAGTATTGATTCGCTAAAAGCTAAACTTTGACTAGTATCACCTTACTTTACAAAAACCTTGTCAAGTATATAAAGTACAAGAATTATAGGTATATATAATATAATATGTTGCTGAACAACTCTTAACATTAAATTCATATTACAAATATTCAAATTTATAAAAATTAAATAATAGATTTCAACATTTTTCACATAACCTGTAGTCTACAATGATATGAAATAATTTTGGTAACAAATTGAAAGGAGATTTATTCCCATAATAAATTAATAACTTATTACAGACTTTGATTTTGAAATAATGTTAATAAATTATAGAATAAGTACATCTTAAGCAGTGCCAAAGTACCTAATCACTATATACTACCTACCTTGTTTAATACAATAGAAACTAAAAACCATTTAAAAATAATTAATAATTAAAAACTAAAACATATTTTAACATAAACATTAATGAAATCATTATCTCTCCCGCATAAAATTAATAATAATGTAAACATTTGTCTTTTTACAACATCCTTCACAGCTAATAGAAAGTAAAAATAAATAAACTGAAAAAATTATAACATTTCTAATATTATCTTTAATAACGTCATTGGGAAGCTTTACTAGCTTAACATTTACGTAAACTGTCAGTACATCTCATTAAAAGCCATGGGATGTGGTGTATGGACCCTAATGTCCTCTATAGGTTGCAAAGATTCTGATAGTATTAAGGTTCCTGGAACATTAGGTGGCGGTACATTTCCTACTAGGCTTCCATTCACAGAATGACCTGGATTACCGTTCACGATCGGACCGTGTTGATTCGACTCTTGCCTCATCATGTTGCGACGCCATTTAGCACGAGCGTTTTGAAACCAAACCTGATGGTAAAAAAAACTTATTATAATACGAAAAATTCCAGCCAAGTTCAGCAAATTAAGAGAAATTTAGCTATATCTAAAACATCAGTAACTTTTTGTTTGTTTTTGACGATATGCTTAGCTCAGTTTGTACTGACTTTACTTGCTGTACCAGCAGTCACGAGTTCGAGTTCCGTTTCTACTCCGTATGTTTATATTAATAATTTGTACGTGTTTAAAGTTATACAGTGTGTGAACTATCTGGTATCCATAACACTAGTCTCGTAACTTACCATGGAACTAGATGGTGCTGTGTGATAATGTCCCAACATATAGGTATATTTATTTAAATTATTAATTAAAATCTCTTTTATTAAAGTTTGCATACAAGTAATTAAGAAAGTAATCATTTTTATTACCTAATTTCTGCCAGTTCATTATTGAGCGGTAATGAAATGAGAGGACTGGCACACTTTGAAGCCATTAAGAAGACAATTGAATTGAATTGAATTGAACGAAATGAAATTTTGGTTTGAATTATTGACATCAGCTCAAGCTAACCTGTAGTACCCTTTTTGAAAGTCCAGTTTTTTGAGCAAGTTGCTTCAAATCTTTTGCGTCTGGATTTTGATTAATAGCGAAGTAAGACTTCATAGTGCGCAGTTGGTGGTGCTTAAAGCTTGTTCTCATACGTTTGGTACGTTGCGTGTGGCTAGATACGCTACCAGGAGATGCCACAGACGAATCGTAAGCAAGCGACTCCATCGAAGATGATAAATCACCACGGTGAAGTATTTCTGAAATAAAATTCATGTCTCAAATATAGAATGTACAATACTTTTAGCAATTTTGCGCATTTGTCTCATATTTTTATAATAATAAGAAAAATTTGTTACAAGTAACACAAGTTAGTACCACTCGCCGATATTTTATAATGATAAAATCATAGCCATGAACATGGACAAAATCAGCTTTACTCGTCTAAAACAAAATTATATTTACGTCGTCGTATTTATATATATTTTATTTTTTTCATAAATTATTATCTATTGTTAGTAAACAACAAATAAAGTAAACTATAAACAAAAAAATATTAGTTGTTGTCTCCGGTCTAAGCCACATCCTACAGTTTTTCTATCTGGTGACAGGAAGACCACGGATTGATGCTGCATCTGATTGCAGATCCGGTTGTGGTTAAACAAATTGCACTGATTCTCACTATGGTTTATTTTTCACCCGAAATGCTTTAAAGAAATTTAAAAATTCTGTCATTACAGTTTTATACCTTAGTATTGTTGTTATTTAGTGATATTTTATGCATACACATTATAATTAAATGCGTAAGTATGTACAATAAAAAGTATTATTAATAATTAATAACCAACAGTTACATGGCTGTCTAAGCAAATAACACACGATGATAAATGTTCAGATAATTGGAAGTTTTGATCTATATGATAGCGTTATAGATGGTCGGTTACAAAACCGGTGGCTTTAATTTATTAATTTCTCGCCCCAAACACTTGGGTGGTTGCGGTTATGCGCGCCGATGCAAGGAAAGCTAATTATTTATAATTAAATATTTCAAACCTTGTTTAAGTTAATTTACCGCCCTATTTCAAAGACAGCTTAGAAATGTTTCCGTTAAGTTTTTTTCTCGATTGTATTATTTATGTACCTACAGGTGGACTCTCTGCGAACAGAGTTATTTATCTTATTGTTATAGATCTTTTATGTTATGCAGGTTATTTTTTATGTTCATTTAGCCAAAACTGTAGGTAATTTTAATTATTGATTTTGAATTATCTAAGAAATTTGATACTTAATAATACGTGGGAGTAGAAAGTAAGTTATATTAAATTGTTTACTATAAGAATACCATAAATCTAATTAATCAGAGAAAAGTTAACTCGTATATATAAAGTTTATAAATATTGTTTGAAACTAGATGCATTAAAATATGATCTTTATATTATCATTATAATAAGTCGTATATGTTATTGTTTAGTCTCTGTAAATCACTTCGATAATTTCAGTTTAAAATAGTAAAGGCATTCTTTTATCTAACGTAAGTGGACAATGCTCTTATAAAAAGTAAATCTTACTCAACCCGAATTAAAACTGAATTGTATATTTCAATATTACTTATTAATAAATCTGAATACAATACTCGGCCTAATAATAATTAAAACCTCCAGGTAAATTTCTAAGAAATTAATTAAATTTCTACGAAACCTATTGTTAACTGTAACGCCGGCGTGTCCGCGGTCGTTTTAAATGAAACTTTATTTAAATAGTAAAAAAAAATTACGAAATATTTAAAAGTAATAGAACAAGTTACACCATATTTGTACGTGAATCAGTCAATGGTATAATCAAATAATAAAGTTGACTGTGGACGTAACCAAAACCATCAATAAATTGCAAAATTGCTTTGAACGCTCAAAACAAACCGGCATGTTTGTGGAGGAAGACTAACGACTTCACTATCGCGAGCAGTTGCTCTCACCATTAAATGACAAGATTTTATTGACAGAATTAACATGTTACCGACTTTACTTGAACTGTTCTTTTTTTCTCGAAAATCCAGTAATAAAGCATCGTGGTCGTAAAGCCTTCGATATTAACGATTGGTTATAAAAAAATAAAGGAGCCATGCAGGAATATGTGTTTTATTGCACAGATAGGCGCCGATGTCCCAAGTATGAGAGAGCAACTTTTGTGGAATTGTAACTTTTTAAGTTGTGATCACAGTTTTCTCCTAGTATATAAGTTTCTGTCAAAATTCAGAAAAACTTCAGTAAATAAGAATAATGTAAACTTGTGCTCTTTTCTAACGAAAAATGAATATATGTTAGTTATTTGTGTTACGAGTACATCATTAAGGAGTATAGTTTGGTAGATATACTTATATGTATATATATACAAATAAATAAAATTGAAGTGTCTGCGTGTAATATCAAAATATAGTTTATATAAAAACCTATTTTTTAAATTTTTGCCTGTCTGTCTGTTTGTTACGGCTAATCTCCGAAACGGCTGGACCGATTTTGACAGCACTTACTTTTATTTTAGAATTAGAAAAGCGAGAGCAAGTCGCTAGTATAATATAAAATTTTGACTAAATAAAATCAGAGTTCTTTAAGCCGCTATATCCTATAACTTATGATGAACGCAATAATAAAATTTTGGTAGACCTTGTAAAACGATATTGATGTAAAACGAAAGCTGTCCGGCGAGGAGGTATAAGTTTTATGTTCATCAAATGTTTTGGTAGTTATCAAACAATTTGGAGTATTCTACGAAATATATATAAATTAATTGCGGGTTATGCGATATTCGGCTCTACGGGGATCTGGTGATTTATAACAACAATCAAACTGCTATTGCAAGTGATAGTGTATGGCTAAGGCACCTTTTTTAGCTCGGGTGCAGATTTTTGGCAAATATTTTTCCATGCGATTTGTTTAAAAAATAACCTTATGTAATGTGAGTAAACTCAAGTTTAGGCTTACGAAATCAGAACTTACGGATATGTCAATTTTTTTTATTCTTTGGTATGTCTTAACGTCACATTTTGATGTCATTTTTATATGAAATATTTACCAGGAGCTGTGCATCTAGGCATTAGGTATTAGATATTTTATATCAATGCCATTAAAGCCTAAAAATTCACGTAAATTCTCAATACTATTGTTTTATAATATTAATGTCCTATTAACGGATTTCGGCCACGGCGGCCAAGTCACAATTAGACACGGCCGATGAGAGATCAGGTGCAGGACCGACGGCTTTAAGTGCTCTCCGAAGCACGGATGTGGAACGCCGCTAACTTCCCAACTTTGGGCAGTTACTGAGAATTTCTGACTGTAAAACTTGGAAACTATGACTTTAACCTAGGGTCTCTCCGTCTGCAACTGTAAATGCCCACCGCAATAGACCACCAGACCGAGGCAGTATCTGTTGATTTTTCCATTCATTGCATTAAAATAATTTTGATAGGTCCATCATCCAACAGTAAATTAAGTCAAGTCTTTAGGTGACCTTCATTCTATTCTATGGTAGAAATCATTTCAGGATGCTTACAAAAAATATATATTTTAGTTTCGCATCAAAAGCTTAACAAATCTAGATAAATCTATACATATAATAAAATTGTACATTAGACATTTTTTGGAAAATCTTATTGAAATAAACATTATTATATATACAGAGTTTTCTCGTGATTCGTTCCCAAACCGACATACTGTCTGTATTTAAAAAACTATTGATTTGGAATCTGCATCAATAATAATGACTATTTCAATAAGATTTTCCAAAAGAAATTAATGTAGGTACAGATTCGACTCAGTTAGAATTTTATTGTATGTTTTTATTTTATTTAGCATTAGGGTAGTTTATATGTTATATTTTACATATTATTATATTTAACAGTTCATAAAATTAAAAAAATATGTTAATTCTAATTTGGATCACACATCACTACTAATTTACGATTATATATTTTAAAGCAAGATTATATACAATACCTAGAGCATTATAGTAAATATATTCGAAGAAATCGTTTCGGTGTCTGTTCATGTAATATATTCGTATCTACAATCAGATTGCGTTAAAAGTTTAGTATCCGAATACAGATGGAAAGTTCAAAAGTTGAATGTTCAACCGGATGTTTAAAAAGTAAAACAGGCGTTTAACTTGGTTTTTAAAATTTCTCTTTCTTTAAAAGTAGGGTCTCAGTTAAAGCTCTAGGATTTAGATTTGAAAAATTATTTACATAAATAAAGTTCGCTTTTTACGCAGTCTAGTTTTTTTTTTTTGTAAATAATTTTTTTACTTGTTGTTTTTCAAGCAATACAGAAAATTATTTTGTTGGATATTATTGTTAAAATTAGAGCGAGAATATAAATAGTTAAACATACCTACTACTACCAAAGCTTTTTAAAGAATTAGAGATAATTAAATACAGGTCTAAAAATCCGGAAGAAGGGAAGGTGCAATGTAATATAACTCTGATATTTCTGAATTCATTTCATTCAAAAATTGTCTCTTCTAGAATTCCTTACCACTAAAATTAATTATAGTTATATGAAAAAACAATCTTTATCATTTAAAATTTGTTATATCCGTAAAATGTCAGTGAAAAAGTAATTAAGTAAAGATATTGGTGACTAGATCGATACCGTCGGTGCTTTTGGCCACCGTTGATAGTAAATCCATCGTGTGGACGGCCTGCCGCTTATCTCCGACCAAGTATCTGACGACATTCGCCCAATAAAGTTGTTAGTAGCTCGCATTGAGTAATAAATAAGTAGTCGTAGGTGTCGAGTACTGACAACTTATCCGACGCACTTTTAATAAATTTTGTAATTGTAATGTTAGTAATGAATACGATGTAAGAAATGCTGTGTCTCCAGGCTTCTGTAATAATAAATATGAAATGCTGTTCGTTGGTAAGCGCATCACGTGAGAACGGCAAGACATATTGCTGTTTTTTTTTAAATCTACAAAATGGGGAAAAGCGAATAGTACTATTTTTATAAACTTAAAGATCACATAAAAAAAATTATTTAATAACTAGCGACTCACCCTCGCTTCGCTTGGGTTCGTCCATAGATAAGTAGGTACGTTTTAACGGCTAATATAGATTTCTTATTGATGAGATATTTTTTTATAAAAAATATCCTATATTTTGACCCGGATAACCAGCTATTATCATACCAAATTTTATCAAAATCTGTCCAGTGGTTTTCTCATGATGTGATCACAGACAGACAGCAAGCATTCTAAAAACTATAGATTCGACCTGTGGGTCGATAATAATGACTATTTCTGTAAGATTTTCCAAAAAATATTTAATGAACAGTTTCGATGCAAAATTTTATAACTATCATGTATAAGTAGATTTAGAAAAGAAAATGTTTTACAGTTCAACTAGTAAATTATGCAAATACAGACATAATATTAATGAGTTATATATTGACGCCAAAATTTATCCACAGTAAGATATATAGATATATTCTTTTAATGTAATAAAAACGACAAACACAATGTCACCTCTTAATTCGTATTATTTGTTGCAATTTAAGCATTTATAAATAAATATAAATTAAATTTTTATTATATTGGTATATAAAGATATTATAATATCTTTAAAATACCTTCAATCAGCTTCACTTATCTGGATGAAAAAACTGACCTACTGATTAACCCCCTGCCACCTACGCAACGCATAGTGGCAATAAGTTCATAAAACGGATACGTTTATAAATATTATGAATGATAATAAGAATGTTAGCATCATAAATTATAGCATTATGCTCCACTTAAGTATTTTTATAGCGCGATAGCTAATAGATTTATTGCAAATAAATGTCATGTAAATAAAAAATATCTTATATAATTTACTTAATGATTTCATTGATATGTGTTTATTTACTATGTTTTTTTTTAGTGTAGATACTCGTACTAGGAATAAAAATGAATAATTTAATAAATATTGACTGTAATTTATACAAAATAAATATAAAATTGGGTTTTTTGCAAATATCTTTATCAACTAAAAAAAAAACATTTTAAGATAACACATACATGTTCCGGGACGCTAAACAGTCCTTTTCCCCCCGACAGGTGATTGCATCGGGGCATTAAGGTCAATATAAAAACAATTCGTTTTTGAGGCCAACCTATTTTAAACGATGCCCTTGTTTACTATTCTAATTTTGTTTTTATTGTAGAAATGGTTTTGGCGGCTCCTAACCTGCCCATTAATTTTTAATTAACCTCATGTGTGATGGTATTACTAAGATTAATATGGTTAATGTAGTATGTAAAGTTATTTTTTATTGTTTTTAATGGGTACTTATTTCCCTTATAGTAGAATATAAATTAATATGAACCGACCGACATTTTAGGTAGATACCTACGTATTAGTTATATATTTATCAAAAGAAAAATTATGGTAAAAATTATGTTTATCATATTTTTCTTTTGTACTTTCTTTTTATCTCATACTTATTATTTATAAAACATTTCCTTAAAAATGTTTTGTGCTGATTTGAAATAATAGATGCATACTTGCAATATATGAAGTCAATTTATTTGCTAAAATATTAAATACACTTCGGTGCCTATATTTATTCAAAATATCGAAGAAATTATTTCGAACCAACACGTTATAATGTTGATTTATGTTTTCTAATATCTTTAAAAACCGCTAACATTGACATTACTAAAGTGCCGCTCGCCACAGTGTTCGATAACTGTAAGTATTATACGAACAATTAAAAATAAACTTTATATTTATATAAACAACGCCTGAATTCTTTTGAACGTTCTTTAAACGCATGCTTACTTTGTCGATGATTGGGTATAAGATAAGGACCAGAATGTCACTCCACGTGCTGTTCGCTTCATTTCTTTTTATTTAATAAAATAGATTAATTAAAAAATAATTTACTTTCACATTTACCCAAGCTTGATTATTTTTATTGGTATATTCTATTTATATAAATATAATATATTATAAATAGGTAAAGACACCGTTTAGTACCTTTTTCCTGTGTTTACCAAACAATTTTCCGTATGTTGACGAGCTACCGTGTTATCAATAAAAAATGTTGGAAGAATTTAAATTCATATATTATGTATGTTTTCCTTAATTTTTCAATTATAATTATGCTTGAATTACGATCACTGGGCGAACATTAGTAGGTCTTTTTAATTATCGATCTACATATATGTATTTTGTAACGTACAGTTACAACCAAAACATAACATTGTTTTATTAAGAAAGTAACTTTCCGAAAAAGATAAACTTAATTAACTATACATCAATTATCTTGAGTAACTATATAGATAGTTCAGGCATTCGTTAGTAATATAATGTACGCTAAAATTTTGAATAAATATAAGGCATTAGCATTAGCGTGAAAGGAAGATCTAAAGTCACGATCAGTTCATGCGAAGCTCGAGTGAGTGACTTTTCAATGATCAATATTTCTATTATCGATAAGGCACGTAACATTATCAAGAGTCCTTAGTTGCTATTATCGATGTCACGCGCTTGGTCTCTAGTGGTATTGTTGGCCAACATGGCAGTATGACGCATTATTTGGCGGGAAACTACTAATTGATAACTATTAGTAGACTAAGAGCGATCTAGGATAAAATATAGAAGCTATGTTTACAATACATACTGTTCTTAAACATAAACTTAATATTATCTTATAAAAAAAATGTTAGCAAATCCCAGATTGACCTTCTGAAGAAGAAGATACATATTGTAAAGTTTCAGATAAAAGCAACCAAGACGTTGAAACTTATACAATAACTAGTACGATAAAGTTCACAGAAAGATTCACTGACTTCGCAACGCAAATAGATATTTTAATAAAGAAATAAAAGAAAAGAAAATATTTGTTTGGCGCTGAACTTACTATGAAGAAAGCTCAACGCGGCTTCTCGTTTATTGTGAACAAACTTCTCGGACGCAGTTGACATAAACTATCGATACGTCTAAACTTTATGTTGGAGGCGAGAAAAATAACAAAGTGTCATTCCGTAGTTCATTCAGACTAGCGCGGCGTCATGATTAATCGGGTCGAGGAGTCACACAACCTGAATTCACCTCAATGAGTGCCTCGCATTTCGACGCCATAAAGAATAATTCAGACGACCGACCTCAGCGACGGGTCCAACGTTTTCAACCACGTTTTTCCTACTCCAGCTTATGAAGCTACCGTACGCGAAAGTGAGACAAAAACAGTTTCAAGAGCGCGTCGTCTATTCATTAGTTGTGATTACGGCCGAGTCGGGATGAATTGACATCTGGGACGCGGGGGACCCGTCCTCGTGCTTTTCCCTTCTGAGGTTTTTGCTAAATTTAAAGCGATTATCAAGTTCGATGAAATATGTTACTTATATGTTTGAATCTGCCGATATTCATCGATCATCGTCCCGGCTTTAGGTATAGTTCAGCAAAGTCATACGTGTAAGTTGATACCTATTAAAAAGATCATACGAAAACTTAAAGGGAAGTGGGTGGAAATAAAGGCATTCTTTGGCGATGAGGCGGAATGAGGGAAAATAAAAGAACTTTTTATAAGCACATTTCCAAGACGAATGAGGAAAATAATCAAAGGACTGGCAATTTTTAATTACTTCTACTGGCTTAATATTATGGAATTCGCTTAGATATCGAATTCGCAGAGGGCGCATTGCAAATACCAAAAAAATATATATTTATCAGCTTACCTAAAGCTGTGCTAGCCATTCTCATTGTTTGGACCTGCATGTCTTCAGGAGATCCTTGAGGCAGTTTTCTCTTTCTCGGTCGCCCCTTTTGACTGGGTCCTCCAGCGTAATATTGATTAGGTAAATCTCCCTCGTTATTCATTTCTTGGCACCTATACAACAGATAATACACATATCTATTGTAAATATTGTAAATAATGTGGAACAATTAACTTAATTTTCAGGTTAAATTGTTTTATCATGATTACTTAGAAACTTCTGTAGGTACAGTGTAACTTTAAGATATTCAAAACGTTTCTTTTAGAATTTTAAATAAAAACTGTATTTAGTATCCATTAGTGGCGAAGGCTCCATACAAGACGTCTTAACGTATTATCTTAAAATTATTATTATTATATATGTATATATATATATATATATATATATATATATATAAAAAAGCTTTTATTTCTTTTGCATTAATACGTATATAAAAATTGTATATTTTTAGAACGGCTTAGCTCTGCTAAAATTTCACTCTTTGCCGCTGGTGAACATTATATGTCTTATTTATCCTAGACAATATATGAACAGTGTCCAAGGGAACAAAACATGAAGAACATTAATATTAAAGATATATTAAAGAGTCAAATCTTATCGTTTCTTGTATTATATAAAGGAGGTTACGGTTATTACGTTAGTATTAAGATAATCCAATAATATACAGATGAAGTAGGTATGCAAGCTAGGTGCAATACAGCATCCTCTAACGCTCTCATTATCGATAATTCCGTGCATTTCATTGTATTAAATCAGGACCCTTCAGACTTCATGCAAGAGATCAAGAGTTGTGTGGGTTTATTTCGTAAAACAATATTGCTACAAATGTACATTACTACAATAATGTTAAATTACTATAACGTTATATGTTAGTAGCAAAATATATTGTTGTATTCTTAATTTTTTGTCATACGAAAGAGATTCAAATACAAAACAATGTGTGTATGTACTTATGTTCGTACGCACGTAAGAAGTTATACTTCTTTGGCGTAACAGAACAAAAATAGCTAAAGATTTCATCATGTAGGTATATCGCAACTCCCTGTTTCATGTTTGTAACAGCTAACTTCATCATGTCGCTTTCAGCTAATTTCATCATGTCGCTTTTTGGCTGTCGGTGTGTGCGTGCATCGTAAAAATTTTACTCTCATAATTTTTTCCAAGCGTGCCATGAGAAGTATAAGTTCAAAAACACTTAAGATGCTTATAGATTTCATGTAACATGGATATTGCTATATTCTAAATTAGATTTATAAGACTCTTTAAGTAATTTTTTAATAATTTTTTTTAATAAAAATACCTACTTAAATTAGTTAAGTTTTTAAATAATTCCTATTCTTTATCATCAGACCTGAGTCATTAATCATACTCGTAAGTTCAATCGGATACTACGAAGTACCTACTTGAAAAAATATTATTTGAACTTATATGTAGGTACCTTCAAGTTTTAAAATCGAAACGAGTACGAATAGAATTAAGTTAATTACCTACATTTCGGATGCAAAACTTTTAAAACTGGTAATTATTACTACCAATTCTTATTAGACAGATTCGGAATCAATTATTATCTATACCTGTAAACACTATTCATATCTTCATCACAGTAATCATCCATGCAAGCGCTGTCATAGTGTGGTCTGCAATAAACTAGGCCATTTCTCATGCCGAAGACGTCGCCTTTCGAGAGCAGCGTCCCACATGTCACGCAGGTGAAGCAAGTCAGGTGAAAAACCATGTCTCGGGCACGCATCACTAGTTCGTTCGCGGTAATACCATTGCCGCAGCGCGCACAACGCTTCACGCAGAAAAGCCTGTAACAAATTCTAAATTTGTTTAGAAAGTTTTAATTTATTTGTAGGTATTTTCGTACATTCGTTTACGTATTTGATGTTCTGGGAAACAAATTTTAGGCTATCGTTTTGGATCAAATCTGATCTATTTAGTTATTGGGACGGCCCGCTTTATTATTTTAGGATTTACACTTAGTGATTGTATAGAAATGCATAGTACCTATCTAATTTAAAATTGTTTCCTTTTATTCAATTTTCTCATATTTCTTTGATATATTTGAAATAATGAATAATTTCTTTAAGTAATAAGTACACACAGATACTTCTGAGATACTTTTTATACTATTTATGACTGGTAATGCTATCATAATAACTCGAATATATAAAAAAAAACTATCCAATATTTTCGATATCGCCGATTATAATCGATGTATTATTATATTTTATTTGTAGTGTGATAGTTCCTAAACTATTTGAAGGTACAATTATGCCATATGTTACGCATAGAAGGGCATAACAAGCCACAAGGGGAGGGATGTTTGTCAAATCATGTCAAGTTAACTCTGGTGTCAAGTTTAATAAGGGGATATAGATAATAATGAAAGCATACCTGTTATATCAGTTTGATTTTTTTTTTCCAATAATTTAATAATATATTAAATTTTATTTAAACAAAAACCCATTTTTGGTTTCGTTTTCACTAGAACTGATGAAATAAGCACGCAAAATTATGTTGTCGGTACATAATTCTAAATGCAACAACCAATCTATTATGAGATTTTAAAATTAATTTAAAAATATAATAAGTATCGATTAATATTAATATCGATTTGAAATAATTTCTAAAACATCCTGGTACGCCTTCAGTTCAAACATAGCTTACGCGTGTTCAATCCGACAGATGCATAATGTATTTAGTGCGTAGAACAGGTGTGTGAACCGACCGAGTGCTGGTTTTGAGTGACGTGAAAACAACGCCCCCTTAATTGCAACAGTTGACACAGGCTGACAACTGCCGCTATGCCCACTGAATTCTGAAATATTTATTTTTCTTTTTTCCTCCATTAACCAATGTTCCCGACGATTTAGCTCGTCGATTGTTATCGAATTAACATGCGATGTAATTTGAAGAAACCCCTTTTTTAATGACGTCATGTCGATGTATCTTACTACGTAAACATCGATAACATATCAATACGTCATCTAATTTTTTATTATTGCGTATTTCTTATACTGGCCGTGTTTTAAACAAGCATATAATAATATATATTATAAATTAAGTATAGCCTAAAACGTTTTACATACATGAACCTGTAAAAATAAATAAGACGATTGCTTCGAATCGTTTTCATTTACCAAAAGCTTTATTCGTTACACCTACTATTTAAATGTATTTAATACTTTATCGCTTAAATTTCGCATACGCCAAAACATTCGCTGTCGCAAAAACCAGCGCAAGCTTAATAGTTCGTAATTTTTCTAACAAGTACTTAATTAAAACAATACTTCGATTTGAATCGATGAGGAAAAATTATTCAATGATTATTATCAAATTTTATTTATAGATCTAGATTTATTTAAAACTTATACAATTGACGTACAGTACGTACATCTAAATAGATAACAACTTTATAATAGATGTTAAATAAATCTTCTAATAATATAATATTTGAAATGTATTATTAATGTTATTCACATACCTATAATAGTCTTCCTTACAATAGATATTGCCATCCCTAGAGAAACAGGTGAGTTCACTGTCCAACGGCAATCGGCATTCGCAGCAGCGGAGGCAGGAGCCGTGCCATTGACGATCTACTGCTAGCAGGTAGTATCTATATCGTATTAAAAATATACATATTTTAGCTATTTATAACATACTAGCAGAAGCCGCGGCTTCGCTCGCGCTAAAACAACGCAAAAAACTCTAAAATGTTAAGTTTCATACAAACGTTCATCCCCTATTTGACCCCTTCATGGGATGAATTTAGAAAAATGCTAAACCACATACTTATTTAATTGTATTGAAGAGCATTTATACCAATTTTCAAGTAATTCTGATCATAAATTATTTTTTGGGTTGTATTATAACGTGTTTTCCGTGGGCATAAGATAATCTTCCAAGGTAAAAAGTAGTATATGTCACTCTCCAGCCCTTCTCAAGGACAAACAAAAAAACAAACTAACACACACTTTCACATTTATAATATAAGTATGAAAATGGATTACATATTATAACCATAATGTCCTCCGAGCCGATTTCGGTTACGACGGAAATCTCGCTGAGACTTACGAATTGCTGGATATATTATACGAGTAGTATATAATTGTATGCGCAGTAATAAGTGCACTCTATTCCTTAAACTCTCACATTACGATACGTTATAACTTAATAGGACCGGTGTAAGATAAGGAAAATACAGCTTCTTTTCCCTAACTCTCTCATAGCCACGGGGTTGGAAACAACTTCCCAACTCCGGGTTACTAGTGAGTATTTCTCAACTACCCTCGGGGGCCCCAACTTACTACACCAACGAGGCAGTCAAAAAAAATGTACGTCGATAAAAACTTAAAAAATAGCATTTAACGTTAATCCAAAATATAACTTTCCTTCAGATGCAATTTCAAAATTCCATTTAGCCGTTACAAGGTAAAAAAATAACAAATACTTGAGTTTGTTTGTTCTTATTTGCTCATATCCTCATTGCCTCTAAAATTTTCGCATTTAGGTATACTATGATATTTTACAATAATTAGAGGGTATACGCCATCCAATTCCTGTTCAGAGTAATTATCTTTAAACTAAAAGCTACACCGACTTTAAAGCCATTGTAAAAATAAGTATTTCATAAGGGTCGATTTATTTCTTACTAGCGATTTGTGTTAGTGGTTTGTTTGTTTAGCGGTTAGATACCGTATTTGTGTAAATAGGTTTTACATTGCCGCATTATAATTGCCAATTTTTAAAGTATTAAAGTGGATATAGTATGTTATCCTTAAGAGATAGACATACGCCATCGCGGACTTTTCTGTAGACCTATACAAGATACACAATTCTACCATATATTATTTTGTTATATCTCAAAGGGTTTATTTAGGCAGCGTTTTCGTTGAAAGCTCCCAGACGGCTTATTTTTTTCCGACACCTCCAACAAATATCGTTATATATTAGCCAATTCTTCTATATTCCTAAATCCTTGAACTCGATAACACCAACTAAGCCATTGTAATTAAAGAAGGCAAAAAATCCTATTGAGGAATACCTTCCCATGCCACTGACATTCTTACACCACATATGCTTATAGTCAAGAAGACTGATTGCAAGATCAAGAAAAAAAAATATTTTAGCTAATGTATACAAAAACTTAATAAATTATATACTAAACCTTCCTTGAGACCCACTCTAACTATTGATGAAAACAGCATGAAAATCGGTGCAGTAGTTTTTGAGTTCATCGCGAACAGACAGACATATAGACAGACGTAGGGGAGGACTTTGTTTTATAATAAGTAGTGAAGATGTATACTTAATATTACTTGAGTCGAAGAGAATATCGTGTCACAATAATTAAAAGACGCGTAGGTAACACACAACCAACATAATATTGAGTGTTCCTTTTAAAATAATATATATGTATTATATAAAGGAAAACCCAGGGGATAAATAATTTTATATGATTGATTGCAATATTTATTTTAGTCAATTTATTTATAAGACACTAACAAAACTTATAATTGCAATAAAATGAATACTTTGACGTCAGTACCTACTTAATAGTTTTTGATAAGTAATAGGAAAACAACAAAAATAATTTAAAAGAACATTGTTTGTTATGTGTAATTACTATGGGGGAATTATCCACCATTGCTTAAACAACATCTATTTAAAACTGAAGTTAATAATTAACCTCATGATATATCATTAAAGCATGGGATTAATTGAAAACGCATCGTTCAATTAAGGAAATAAGTTTTGTTCGGTTAAATTAATCAGTCCGTCTAAAATCATAATAGAGTGATAGTATCGTATAATTATAGTATTGTTAGCAATACCTGTCTAGTATCCTGCCCCCGCACCCCGCACACTCGTCGGGGGTAGCAGGCGACCCCTCCGAACTCTCTCTCTCCTTAAGCATATTGTCGCTTTCCGTCCTGCCCTCCGGATTGGACTCCTTGTTTCAAATAACAAGGTTCAATTCCTCTTGCATCATTTTCTCTTCACTATTTGAGTTAGACATGGCTCGTCTGGCTTGATAGAATCAAAATACCTGTTAGATTATTCAGACATATTTTAATGTGTTTACAAAATATGTATATTTAATATTTAGATTTTTACAACAACTTTTCATTTACTTAATACTATTTACTTAAAATTATATTTGGATAAAATTTACTATACCAAAAGTATAGAAACTATCGTTTCAAAATGATTAAAAGTAAACATAAGGTCTATTTTTCCCATCTATAGTAAAAACAAAAAGTAAATCCATAAATTTGAATACACAGCTATATTTTTCATATGAAATGCTATCGCCTGCCTCTTTAGCATATCATTTATAATTCTGCCGCGTGGACTGGCTCAAATCAGCAACTGTATACAATGGACCACATATAGGATTCTACAGAGTTTTATACTAGGCCGTCCCTTTTATTGGAAGACAATGGAAGCTGAACGTTTTTGTTTTGTTCTCGTCTCGAAAACGACATTCACGTGCCTTTTAAATCGGCACATATTAAACATAAGCGTATAAAATAGAAACGAAGGTAGGTAGGTGCTTGACGGAGTTAAGCAATGCGATATATTTTGTTTTTAGTTTTTGATTAGTAAGTATTTCTGTTGTATGTAACTATAAGTACGAAACACTTTTTTTTAAAATATTTGATTTTAATTTATGTCTCTTTCTTCTTTTGTAGTATGATTTAATCCAGTTAAAGGCAATACTGTGATACTTTGCCTGTCAACCTTAACCTTACAAATATGAGTTAAAACATTTCACATTTGTGTGAGAAAATCTCGTTTTATGGCAATGGCGCGTCGTAAAATTAGGTGAACCATGAAAAATAAATATGCATCGCAACTTTTCAGCTTTTGTGAACAGAAAATATATAGATCAGAATTATACGAGTTTATTCAGCGATATTTCTTGAATATTAAGTATTCCTACTTAAGCTTTTCTATTCACCTCATTTCAATATCTTCTTGTTGTATCATTTCGTTTTCAAATTCCAATGGGGGCAAGATAAACCACTGCTTACATTATATTATAAAATGTCTATATTTGTGTTACATAGACCATTAGCTAATTAGTCAAAGTAGCCCCGTGCGGAAATCGAACCCTCAACGTCTAGAGTAGTAGTGATTACACATCAACTACATTACAACAACGTCTTATCGGTAATAATTATAGTTTTACTAGCGGTATAAATTAATTAAGTATATATATTACTTATAAAAAGCAGCCTATGTGTTATTCCAGACTATAATCTACCTATCTCTGTGCCAAATTTCATCCAGATCTGTTCAGCCGTTCTGACGTGAAAGAGTAACAAACATACATCCATACATAAATTTTATAATATTAGTAGAAGATTTAAAGACTAAATTTCGGTCGCGGCTCCACTTGCGTTTTGTGACAGTAAAAAACTCTTTTGCTTTGCTCTATATATTTATTTTATCTGGGTCAAAAAGTAGCTTATATCACTCCCACCTGAATAATATATGAATGTGAGTCACATTTATTTAGTCACTCCAGTGGTTAGCGAATACAAACAGAACAGTGTATTATAATAGGTGTAATAAAGGGTAGGTTTAAAATTTCAGTACAGACATTTCAGTTTTATTAAAACACTAGCATTGCCCGCGGCTCCGCCAGCGTTCAGATGACCAAAAATAAATTCTTAGGTTTTACATATTAGTATACTCTTGCATTGCAGTTTTTGTATTTTTTCTCAGAAATGAGATATTTTTCCGCGGTAAAAAGTATTCTATATGTTGACCCGGATAACCAGCTATCACCATACCAAATTTCATCAAAATCCCTCCAGTGGTTTTTTCGTGATGCGGTAACAGACAGACAGACAAAAATTCTAAAAACTATATATTCGGCCTCTGCATCGATAATAATATTTCAATTAATTATTAATCTAATTCAATAAGATTTTCCAAAAAATATTTAATGTACAGATACGGCTTAATTACAATTTTACTATATGTATAGATTTGCATGTGACTCTCAAAATTACTTCAAACACAAAGTCTCATTTTGTTCTATTAAGTTCTAATCACGTCTTCACTCGCGTGAAGAAGTTTTAGAATAAAAATCGGCCTAATTATCCTAGCCTAAGTTGCGTATAGGTACTATATATATGAATGCTACGTTCCTTTTAAGTCTGTGAAATAATTTAATTCTAATTTATTTTGCAGGATCCATAAATTAATTATTAAAAGAAATGAATGATGAATGAATGATGACAATATTATATAGACAATGTTTAGCGACGTGATATAAAAAAAATGTAAAATCCAAACAGCTGAAGCAACTTTTCAATCAACAGTACAGTTTCTTAAACGTTACCATTTATTAATACAAAAATAAACAATAAATATTTTTTTTTACATTTTCTTCACTTCACTTTATATTTTATTTTTATAGAATAAGAAAATTTAATTTACAGCTGCTTGATCTCTTCACAAATGGTTTTCTAGGAAAGGCATTAAATAAAGTGTAGAAAATAAATATCTTGGAGAAAATTTATTGTGCGATACTTACTACGTTATTGGCTTTCAAAACAAAGATCGTTTAAAATTCTATTCAAGATTGATTTCTATTGAAATACAATTACAGTAGCGGCACTTGTAATTCTTTGAATTGAAATCTTAATAGTGCTGCAATTATTTGCAGTCGATTTGACTTTTAAGAGTCAATTAGGTAAAGATTGTTAACAAGAAACATGAACTGCGGTATTTCACATCTCTGAATAGCCATTATTTACTATCTTTAAGTTATTTACTTTCTTCATGAAATAATTTTAAATTGTATGCTTGCAGAAATACTTCTAATAATTAAGGTCCATTGAAATATATTCAACAACTTGTATAGCTTTTATACTTTTCATTTATCTTTTCTGTATGCTTTAAATTTATGACTTTCCAGTGTGAAAATACGTACAAGTAAGTTAATCAATGTCACGTAAAACTGAATGGTAGTTAATAATTACCAGTCAACATATAAAACATGTTATCTTGCCATGATCAATATCTAATTAGTCATTTGGAATTCGAACATTGTCTCATTTGTATTTGTTTGTGTGAATTTATGTACCTATGAATTAAACATAAAAATATTATATTTTATTGTATATTTTTCTTTTAAAGGACATATATATATATATATATATATATATATATATATATATATATATATATATATAAATTAAATATTCAAAAATATATAAATACGTTAGATAAATCTATAAGTACTTATCTATACATATAATAAAATTGTAACTAAGCCGAATCTGTACATTAAATAGTTTTTGGAAAATCTTATTGAAATAGACGTTATTATTGATACAGATGTCGAAACTATAGTTTTTAAAATTTCTATCTGTCTGTCTATCTGACTGGGAATGCATCACGAGAAAACCTCGACAGAATTTATTGTATGATTATAGCTGGTTATCCGGGTCAAGTTTAGAAAACTTTTTAAATAAAAATATCTCATCTCTGAGAAATCTATACTAACCCTAAAACGTAGGGAAGCACCCGAGGTAAGCGAGGCTGAGTCGCTAGCATCGTAATAAGATCAAAACTGCACAAATTATCAATGCAAATATGCTGCAATTAATTTAATTATAATCGCTCAAACTCTTAGAAATTTCATAAACCTACATGATGGTTTTGGATTAACCAGTTCTTCAGAGATCAATAATTTAAATAAAATATAGAAAATTTGTTGTGTGTGTCTGTTAAGATCAGTACAAATACGTAACCATATGGTTTATAATAATGTTGCGTTTATATTTGTAGCGTTATTAAATAAATAACACAATAAAATTAAGGTAATTATATATAAATTTGTATCCAGCTCTTATCTAATCAAAAACAATATACTTGGAAGTTTTATCAGAAATTGCGTTTTGAACCTAAAACTATAAATAATTTTATGGCAGTTGTTAGTTTTGATAAGGGTGTTCTAAAACCAAGGTTTTGAAATTAAGAGCAATAAACTGAACATTTATTAGAGTGCAATTATGTAACTTAATAAGTTACTCGGTAGATATCCAATTTTTAATATTTCATTCAATTACGGCCGTTTGTAAACATTTCTTAAATACTTAATCGTTATGTAGAAGCGTTTATTCATTATATTTACTATCACAAATATTTACATTTCATACTGTATGTACGAAATCATGTGAGACTGCGTAAAAGAAGAACATTTTTTTTTATAATCTTCCTAGTTTTAATTAAATAATTTCAAAATATCTACGAGTGTTATAGGCTAAAAAAATCGAGCAAGTGCGCGTCGAGCCACGCGCAATGTAGGGATCCGTAGTGTTATGATTTTATTTCTGTATATTTTTACATATTTACTACCTGTTTTACATCAAAAAATCCTTGCTTTACGTTTAGAGAAGGTACTCTAGAAATGTTTTTTCTTTAAATTTTTATTTTCTAGTGCTAAGAGTCTCATAGCTAAGCTGCGGACAGACGGACGGACGGACCGCCAGACGGACATGGCGAAAATATAAGGGTTCCTTATTAACTACGGAATCCTTAAAATTAGCAAAACTATTAAGAATTATATCTATTATTTTGATTTTTTAAAAGCACAAACAATAATAAATATGTAGTTAAGTTAAATATAAACAAAGACTTGGAATCTTATGAAAAAAATATATTTATACGGTGGTAATAATATAATTTGCATGAGAACAATGTACATTAAGTATATTGGTTCAACTAAATAACAAATGCAGTAATTTATGATCTAATTAAATGTCATCGTTCAATTAAAAAAGCTGTAACAATTATCTCAAAACGTAATAAACATAAATATAAGTACATACCTCGTAAATTTTTTTACGTAACCGATATAACGACTAAATAAATTAATAACTCAAATACAGTAAT